CTCGCGTTGGCCGCTGTGATTGCCCCCGGCGGCGGGGGGGGGCCCCCCCTTACGTCTTGGCAGGCTTAGACGGCCACTTCCTGGAGTCCGTGGGGTTCTGCCGTTACTCGCACGGCACATTTCATGAAAGCGTGCTTTTTAAAAATAGTTAAAAAAGGTAGGTAAAAAAAAATACGACTTCTATTTTTTTTTTGAACACCCAAATCGGGCGATGCACGACCGAGCCGCGTTTATGTTTCTGTAGCGGCTCTCTCTTACAGGGGAGCGGTCTGCCCCCCCCCCCCCCCCCCCCCACCGCAAAGGGTGAAGCCGCTGAACGAGGTCATCATCATCATCGAAATTCACAGCGGCAGCAAAATTCTCCAAACTCGCTGAGACGTCGATTTATAAACGTGGAGGGGGGGGGGGAAACGCGGAAGGACCCCCGTTACAAATCCACGCGATCACCACGGGGGGAGAGAGAGAGAGAGAGAGACGCGCAAACTCCGAAAATACGGCAGCGGGCGTCGTCAGGGTAGGGATCGAACCCACGGACCTCCTGCGTACCAGGCGAGGTAGTTAACATCTCGTTTGGGTTAGGATCGAACCCAGAGACCTCCTGCGTACCAGGCGAGGTAGTTAACATCTCGTTTGGGTTAGGATCGAACCCACGGACCTCCTGCGCACCAGGCGAGGTTGTTAACATCTCGTTTGGGTTAGGATCGAACCCAGAGACCTCCTGCGTACCAGGCGAGGTAGTTAACATCTCGTTTGGGTTAGGATCGAACCCACGGACCTCCTGCGCACCAGGCGAGGTTGTTAACATCTCGTTTGGGTTAGGATCGAACCCAGAGACCTCCTGCGTACCAGGCGAGGTAGTTAACATCTCGTTTGGGTTAGGATCGAATCCACGGACCTCCTGCGTACCAGGCGAGGTTGTTAACATCTTGTTTGGGTTAGGATCGAACCCACGGACCTCCTGCGTACCAGGCGAGGTAGTTAACATCTCCTATCCAACGTGGCACCCCAATCACCGGGCGGTCTCCACTAGAGGCCGCTACACCGGTGCAAATGGGCCTAACGCCACGTTTAATCCCACCGCGCGTGATGGCCGATTGCCGTCTGTCTCAGAGACACTGGGAGCCTGTGTCTGGGTGTGTCTCTATCAGGGGGTTCACAGTGGCCGGGTCAGAGACACTGGGAGCCTGGGTCTGGGTGTGTCTCAATGGGGGGCTCTCACCTGGGTGAATGGGGGTGGGTGAGCGGGTGGCTGGGTGAATGGCTGGGTGGGTGAGCGGGTGGGTGAGCGGGTTGTTAGGTGGGTGAGCATGTGGGTGGGTGAGCAGATGGTTAGGTCGGTGAGCGTGTGGCTGGCTGGGTGGGTTGTCACCCCTGTGTGTGCGTGTGTGTACGTGTGTGTGTACGTGTGTGCGTGTACTGTGCGTGTACGTGTGTGTGTACGTGTGTGTGTGTGTGTGTACGTGTGTGTGTACGTGTGTGTGTGTGTGTGTACGTGTGTGTGTACGTGTGTGTGTGTGTACGTGTGTGTGTGTGTGTACGTGTGTGTGTGTGTGTGCGTCCCTGTGCTCGTGTCCCAGGCTCGTGGTGAACGCGCTGGAAGCTCTGGACGGCTGTTACGCCATCGCTCCACCTGGCGAGAGAGTGAGCCCCTCTACCCCCTCCACCCCCTCCACCCCTTCCCTCCACCCCCTCCCCTCCACCCCCTCCCCTCCACTCCATCGCCTCCACTCCACCCCTTCCCTCCATCCCCACCCCTACCCCACCCCCTCCCACTCCACTCCACCCCCTCCACCCCCCACCCCCACAACCCCCTCCACTCCACCCCCTCACCTCCCCACCTCCACCCCCTCCACTCCTACCCCTCCCTCCACTCCACTCCACCCCTCCCTCACCTCCACTCCACCCCTCCACTCCACCCCTCCACTCCACCAGAATAAAAAAGGGGAACAGCCCTATTATTATTATTCTTGGTTCTTTCGGTAAAGTCACCAAGTAGAAGGGAAACAATAAAATATTTAAAAAATATAAAACAATAAAATTATCAGGACGTTTCGACTGCAACACTAGAAGCAATCATCATCAGGGTGTGAACACCACAGCAAGAAGATTTGAAAAAAGTGGCGTGTGTTTTTTAACGTTAGCACCACGGAGAGCGATTTGGAAGTTTATTCAGACGGACGAGTCCATCTATGTTCGGAAAAGAGGAGGGGGGGAGACGAAAATAATGGATGCTGTCTGAAAGCCACCGTAAGCATGAACAATCAATTAAGACCTGAAACTGTTTATAAAATCCTTCCAATGATTGCTAAGCCAAGAATCCATCTTCTCGGTTGAAATTGTCTCTGCGTTTGGATACGTGGATAGCCTCATGAACGAATCTCTCATGGTAGCCGTAAGCGTGAACAATCAATCAAGACCCGAAATGGTTGATCAATTCCTTCCAATGATTGCTAAGCCCAGAATCCATCTTCTCGGTTGAAATTGTCTCTGCGTTTGTATACGTGGATAGCCTCATGAACGAATCTCTCATGGTAGCTGTAAGCGTGAACAATCAATCAAGACCCGAAATGGTTTATCAAATCCTTCCAATGATTGCTAAGCCCAGAATCCATCTTCTCGGTTGAAGTTGTCTCTGCGTTTGTATACGTGGATAGCCTCGTGAACGAATCTCTCATGGTAACCGTAAGCGTGAACAATCAATCAAGACCCGAAATGGTTGATCAATTCCTTCCAATGATTGATCAATTCCTTCCAATGATTGCTAAGCCCAGAATCCATATTCTCGGTTGAAGTTGTCTCTGCGTTTGTATACGTGGATAGCCTCATGAACGAATCTCTCATGGTAACCGTAAGCGTGAACAATCAATCAAGACCCGAAATGGTTGATCAATTCCTTCCAGTGATTGCTAAGCCCAGAATCCTTCTTCTCGGTTGAAACTGTCTCTGCGTTTGTATACGTGGATAGCCTCATGAATGAATCTCTCATGGTAACCGTAAGCGTGAACAATAAATCAAGACCAGAAATGGTTGATCAAATCCTTCCAATGATTGCTAAGCCCAGAATCAATCTTCTCGGTTGAAGTTGTCTCTGCGTTTGTATACGTGGATAGCCTCGTGAACGAATCTCTCATGGTAACCGTAAGCGTGAACAATCAATCAAGACCCGAAATGGTTGATCAATTCCTTCCAATGATTGATCAATTCCTTCCAATGATTGCTAAGCCCAGAATCCATCTTCTCGGTTGAAATTGTCTCTGCGTTTGTATACGTGGATAGCCTCATGAACGAATCTCTCATGGTAGCCAGATGGCTTGCAGAGAACCTCTGCTGAAGTAGGCGTGAGATCTGCCCGTGGCACGAAGTTACATAGGCCTCAGCAGTAGGGGGGGCGGGGTCTTTGTCTGTTTGTGTTGTGGGGGTGACGGAGGAGGCCCGCGAGGTGACGGTGTTACTTGGGCAGTGCCAGGCTAGGTGCACCTCGAGGCGACTTGGCGAGCCGGTTGCCCTCCCCACAACACGGGAAAAACGCAGCAAAGTTTGAACGGTGGAAGGGCACAGGTGGTGCATCTGCCAGTCATCTCGGTCGGTCAACCCACGGCTCCCGCTGGGTCTGTCCCGTGACCTCCTCCTCCTGCACCTAGCCTGGCACGGCAGTATACAACCCACGGCTCCCGCTGGGTCTGTCCCGTGACCTCCTCCTCCTCCTGCACCTAGCCTGGCACGGCAGTATACAACCCCCTCCATCACCACCTGGGTGTCCCGTGACCTCCTCCTCCTGCACCTAGCCTGGCACGGCAGTATACAACCCCCTCCATCACCACCTGGGTGTCCCGTGACCTCCTCCTGCACCTAGCCTGGCACGGCAGTATACAACCCCCCCCATCACCACCTGGGTGTCCCGTGGGGTGTCCCCCTGCACTCACATAGCCCGGGGAGGGAGGTTGAACTTCTGCCTCTGGCCGTGCGTTGCGCTGCAGGAGAGGAGCAAGCAGACGGCGCTGGAGCTGGCCACCACGATGCTCTCCATGCCGGCGCCGCCCGGCGTCCACCAGCAGACCAAGGTGCTGCTGGCCGGCCTGCACAGCAGCCGCAACGCCTACCACAGCCACAAGGTAAAGGCCCGGCACGCGCCACGGCTGACGTGGCGGTACGGCTGACGTGGTGGTACGGCTGACGTGGTGGTACGGCTGACGTGGCGGTACGGCTGACGTGGCGGTACGGCTGACGTGGCGGTACGGCTGACGTGGTGGTACGGCTGACGTGGTGGCACGGCATGACGTGGTGAAGCCGACCTCGGCATGGCTGCATCGGTACGGCGTGGATGCACTGCGGCCCCCCCGCGCGCACGGCACCCCCCGCACTACCGCAACGCTAACCCTCGCCCCCTCTCTGCACCACCAAAACCCCCACCTGCCCCCACCCCGTTGCCGTTGCGGCGCAGGACCAGGCGCTCCTGCGCCACGTGGTGGGAGCGCTGAGCGGTGCGGGTGGCGGTGGCGGTGGCACCGGCGCCACCACCGCCACCGCGGCGGCGCGCGAGGAGGCGCTGGACCCGGAGACGTTCCACCGCGTGGTGGTGACGGCGCGTGCCGTGGCCACCATGCGGCCCGCAAACCTCGTGCGCTACACGGACATGGGGGGCGCCGCGGCCACCGCCACCGCCGAGTCCGCCGACGGTGGGTGCCGGCGCCCCGCCCACTCGCTCGCTGGCTCACCCGTCCGCTCACCATCTCGCTCGCTCGCTGCTCACCTGCTCGACCAGTCGCTCGCTCGCCCCGCCCGCCTGCTCGTTATCTCGCTCGCTCGCCCGCTCACTCGTCCGCCCGCTCGTTCGCTCGCCTGCCCGCTCGTCCGCCCGCTCACCTTCTCGCTCGCTCGCTGCTCACTCACTCGACCACTCGCTCACTCACTCACTCACTCACTCGCTCACTCACTCGCCCAGCTGCCCGCACACCCACCCGCTCACTGGCTCACCCGCTCACCGTCTCGCTCGCTCGCTCGCTCATCCGCCCGCCCGCTCGCTATCTCGCTCGCTCGCCCGCTCACTCGTCCGCCCGCTCGTCCAGTCGCTCACTCAATCGCCCACCCGCTAACTCACTCGACCACTCGCTCACTCACTCGCCCAGCTGTGCCCACACACCCACCCGCTCACTCGCCCAACCCACCCACCCGCTCACCTACCCACCAACCCCCACCCATGAAGAAGGGGGCCATCACCCGAAACGTTGCCTCGGCAATCGCCACCGCCGTCGCCAGCGTTATCACCAGGATCTTCACCGACGCCGCAGCCGGACCGCCGACGGTTTAACCCCCTCCCCCCTGTCCACCCCCGGTGGCGGTGTCTGGGCTCCCCCAGACTCGGCGGATGAGAGGGCGACCCTCGGCGGTCCTGGTGGAGTCGGAGGAGGAGGAGGCAGCAGCGAGCCGGCCTTCATCACCCAGCTGGTGGACTGCTTCTGGCGCCTGCACGCGGCTAAACCCCGCAATGCCTTCCTCGCTCCCGCCTGCCTGCCCGGTGGGTCGCTCGCTCGCCAACTCTCGACCGGCCATGCGGTGTTAGCCTGCTCTCTCCGTGTGGCCCGCGAACCACATGGACAGCCCGCTGGCCCGCTAACCGGATGGCCTGTTAGCCCGCTAACCGGATGGCCTGTTAGCCCGCTAACCAGATGGCCTGTTAGCCCGCTAACCAGATGGCCTGTTAGCCCGCTAAACAGATGGCCTGTTAGCCCGCTAACCAGATGGCCTGTTAGCCTGCTAACCGGATGGCCTGTTAGCCTGCTAAACGGATGGCCTGCTATCCTGCTAACCGGATAGACTGCCTCCTAAGCCTGCTAACCAGATAGACAGCATGTTAGCCTGCTAACCAGATAGACAGCATGTTAGCCTGCTAATCAGATAGACAGCATGTTAGCCTGCTGACCAGATATACAACTTGCTAGCCTGCTAACCAGATAGACAGCCAGATAACTATATGGCCTGCTATCCTGCTAACCAGATAGCCTGTTAACCAGATGGCCTCCTAGATTGCTATCCTGCTATCCAGATAGACATATAGCCCTTTAGACAGACGGCCTGTTAGCCCTCTAACCAGATGAAGAGCATGTTAGCACGCTAACCAGATGACCTGCTAACCATATAGCCTGCTAGCAAGCTAACCAGATAGACAGCAAACTATTCTGCTCACCAGATAGCCTGCTATCCAGATAGACATATAGCCCGGTAGATAGCCCTTTAGACAGACAGCCTGCTCGACAGATTGCCCGCTATCCTGCTAGACGGGCAGCCTGCTAGACAGCCTGCTAGCCCGCTAGACAGACAGCCTGCTAGCCCGCTAGAGAGACAGCCTGATAGACAGACAGCCTGCTAGCCTGATAGACAGACAGCCTGCTAGCCTGATAGACAGACAGCCTGCTAGCCTGATAGACAGACAGCCTGCTAGCCTGATAGACAGACAGCCTGCTAGCCTGATAGACAGACAGCCTGCTAGCCTGATAGACAGACAGCCTGCTAGCCTGATAGACAGACAGCCTGCTAGCCTGATAGACAGACAGCCTGCTAGCCTGATAGACAGACAGCCTGCTAGCCTGCTATACAGCTATAGACAGACAGCATCCTAGCCTGATAGACAGACAGCCTGCTAGCCTGATAGACAGACAGCCTGCTAGCCTGATAGACAGACAGCCTGCTAGCCTGATAGACAGACAGCCTGCTAGCCTGATAGACAGACAGCCTGCTAGCCTGATAGACAGCCTGATAGGTAGACAGCCTGATAGCCTGCTATGCAGTTATAGACAGCCCGCTATACAGCTACAGACAGCCTGCTAGCCCGCTATAGACAGCCTTCTACACAGCTATAGACAGCCCGCTACACAGCTATAGACAGCCCGCTATACAGCTACAGACAGCCTGCAAGACTGCCCGCTAGACTGCCCCGTGACCTTGACCCACGACGTTTGACCTCCACCCCCCCCCACCACGCAGGCCTGACCCACATGGAGGGCACGGTGAACGCGCTGGTGGATGTGGTGCACGGCTACTCGTCGTGCGAGCTCGAAACCATTCCTCTCGCCGCACGGCTCTACCTGCAGATGCTACTCTGTCCTGTACGTACGCGCCTGCACGCGCGCACACGCACGCACGTGTACATACACACGCGTGTGTACATACACACACGCGTGTGTACATGCACACACGCCGTGTACCCACGGTGTACCCACCGTGCTCCCCCTACTGCGTGTGCAGGACCCGCAGGTGAGCTTCTCGTGCAAGCAGGCGCTGATCCGGGTGCTGAGGCCGCGAAGCAAGCGGGCGCAGCTCTCCACCCTGCCCTCGCCCCCACGCAGCAACACGCCCACGGGTGAGAAGGTGGGGGGGGGGGATGGGGTGGGGGGGGGGGGTGGGGGGCACGGGCCGGGGGGCACGGGGTGGGATATGCGGAGACTCTGGGTAGGCACTGGGAGACTCTGGGTAGGCACTGGGAGACTCTGGGAGACACTTGGAGACTCTGCGAGACTCTGGGAGGCACTGGGAGACACTGGGAGACTCTGGGAGACTCTGGGAGACTCCGGGAGACTCTGGGAGACGCTGGGAGACTCTGGGAGACTCTGGGAGACTCCGGGAGACACTGGGAGACACTGGGAGACTCCGGGAGCATCTGGGAGACACGGGGAGACACTGGGAGACTGGGAGACTCTGGGAGACACTGGGGAGACACTGGGGAGACACTGGGAGACACTGGGAGACACTGGGAGACTCTGGGAGACACAGGGAGACACTGGGAGACACCGGGAGACACCGGGAGACACCGGGAGACTCCGGCAGACTCTGGGTAGGCACTGGGAGACTCTGGGAGACTGGGAGACACTGGGAGACTCTGGGAGACACTGGGAGACTCTGGGAGACTCTGGGAGACACTGGGGAGACACTGGGGAGACACTGGGAGACACTGGGAGACTCTGGGAGACTCTGGGAGACACTGGGAGACACGGGGAGACTCTGGGAGACACTGGGAGACTCTGGGTAGGCACTGGGAGAGTCCGGGAGACACCGGGAGACTCCGGGAGACTCCGGGAGACACTGGGAGACACTGGGAGACTCTGGGAGACACTGGGAGACACTGGGAGACTCTGGGAGACTCTGGGAGACACCGGGAGACACCGGGAGACTCCGGGAGACTCTGGGTCGGCACTGGGAGACTCTGGGAGACACTGGGAGACTCTGGGAGACACTGGGGAGACTCCGGGAGACACTGGGAGACACTGGGAGACTCTTGGAGACACTGGGAGACTCTGGGAGACACCAGGAGACACCGGGAGACACTGGGAGACTCCGGGAGACTCTGGGTAGGCACTGGGAGACTCTGGGAGACTCTGGGAGACACTGGGAGACTCTGGGAGACACTGGGGAGACACTGGGGAGACACTGGGAGACACTGGGAGACTCTGGGAGACACGGGGAGACTCTGGGAGACACTGGGGAGACACTGGGGAGACACTGGGAGACACTGGGAGACTCTGGGAGACACTGGGAGACTCTGGGAGACACTGGGAGACACTGGGAGACACTGGGAGACTCTGGGTAGGCACTGGGAGACTCCGGGAGACACCGGGAGACTCCGGGAGACTCCGGGAGACACTGGGAGACACTGGGAGACTCTGGGAGACACTGGGAGACACTGGGAGACTCTGGGAGACACCGGGAGACACCGGGAGACTCCGGGAGACTCTGGGTCGGCACTGGGAGACTCTGGGAGACTCTGGGAGACTCTGGGAGACACTGGGGAGACTCCGGGAGACACTGGGAGACACTGGGAGACACTGGGAGACACTGGGAGACTCTGGGAGACACTGGGAGATACTGGGAGACTCTGGGAGACACCGGGAGACACCGGGAGACTCCGGGAGACTCTGGGTAGGCACTGGGAGACTCTGGGAGACACTGGGAGACACTGGGAGACTCTGGGAGACACGGGGAGACACTGGGAGACACTGGGAGACATGGGGAGACACTGGGAGACACTGGGAGACTCTGGGAGACACTGGGGAGACACTGGGGAGACACTGGGAGACACTGGGAGACACTGGGAGACTCTGGGAGACACGGGGAGACACTGGGAGACTCTGGGAGACACCGGGAGACACCGGGAGACACTGGGAGACTCCGGCAGACTCTGGGTAGGCACTGGGAGACTCTGGGAGACTCTGGGAGACACTGGGAGACTCTGGGAGACACTGGGAGACTCTGGGAGACTCTGGGAGACTCTGGGAGACACTGGGGAGACACTGGGGAGACACTGGGAGACACTGGGAGACTCTGGGAGACACTGGGAGACACGGGGAGACTCTGGGAGACACTGGGAGACTCTGGGTAGGCACTGGGAGACTCCGGGAGACACCGGGAGACTCCGGGAGACTCCGGGAGACACTGGAAGACTCTGGGAGACTCTGGGAGACACTGGGAGACTCTGGGAGACACCGGGAGACACCGGGAGACTCCGGGAGACTCTGGTTCGGCACTGGGAGACTCTGGGAGACTCTGGGAGACACTGCGAGACTCTGGGAGACACTGGGGAGACTCCGGGAGACACTGGGAGACACTGGGAGACTCTGGGAGACACTGGGAGACTCTGGGAGACACCAGGAGACACCGGGAGACACCGGGAGACTCCGGGAGACTCTGGGTAGGCACTGGGAGACTCTGGGAGACTCTGGGAGACACTGGGAGACTCTGGGAGACACTGGGGAGACACTGGGGAGACACTGGGAGACACTGGGAGACTCTGGGAGACACGGGGAGACTCTGGGAGACACTGGGGAGACACTGGGGAGACACTGGGAGACACTGGGAGACTCTGGGAGACTCTGGGAGACACTGGGAGACTCTGGGTAGGCACTGGGAGACTCCGGGAGACACCGGGAGACTCCGGGAGACTCCGGGAGACACTGGGAGACACTGGGAGACTCTGGGAGACACTGGGAGACACTGGGAGACTCTGGGAGACACCGGGAGACACCGGGAGACTCCGGGAGACTCTGGGTCGGCACTGGGAGACTCTGGGAGACTCTGGGAGACTCTGGGAGACACTGGGGAGACTCCGGGAGACACTGGGAGACACTGGGAGACACTGGGAGACACTGGGAGACTCTGGGAGACACTGGGAGACACTGGGAGATACTGGGAGACTCTGGGAGACACCGGGAGACACCGGGAGACTCTGGGTAGGCACTGGGAGACTCTGGGAGACTCTGGGAGACACTAGGAGACACTGGGAGACTCTGGGAGACACGGGGAGACACTGGGAGACACTGGGAGACACTGGGAGACATGGGGAGACACTGGGAGACACTGGGAGACTCTGGGAGACACTGGGGAGACACTGGGGAGACACTGGGGAGACTCTGGGAGACACTGGGAGACACTGGGAGACTCTGGGAGACACTGGGAGACTCTGGGAGACACCGGGAGGCACCGGGAGACACTGGGTAGGCACTGGGAGACTCTGGGAGACACTGGGAGACACGGGGATACTCTGGGAGACACTGGGAGACACGGGGATACTCTGGGAGACACTGGGAGACACTTGGAGACACTGGGAGACTCTGGGAGACACTGGGAGACTGTGGGAGACTCTTGGAGACACTGGGAGACTCTGGGAGACTCTGGGAGACACTGGGAGACTCTGGGAGACACTGGGAGACACTGAGAGACACGGGGAGACACTGGGAGACGCTGGGAGACACTGGGAGACACTGGGAGACTGTGGGAGACTGTGGGAGACACAGGGAGACACTGGGAGACACTGGGAGACTCTGGGAGACACTGGGAGACTCTGGGAGACTCTGGGAGACACTGGGAGACTCTGGGAGACACGGGGAGACACGGGAGCATCTGGGAGACACTGGGAGACTCTGGGAGAAACTGGGAGACTCTGGGAGACTCTGGGAGACACTGGGGAGACACGCGGAGACTCTGGGAGACTCTGGGAGACACTGGGAGACTCTGGGAGACTCTGGGAGACACTGGGAGACTCTGGGAGACACCGGGAGACACCGGGAGACTCTGGGAGACTCTGGGAGACACTGGGAGACAGCGGGAGACAGCGGGAGACTCCGGGAGACTCCGGGAGACTCTGGGTAGGCACTGGGAGACACTGGGAGACTCTGGGAGACTCTGGAAGACTCTGGAAGACACTGGGAGACACGGGGATACTCTGGGAGACACTGGGAGACACGGGGAGACACGGGGAGACTCTGGGAGACACTGGGAGACTCTGGGAGACTGTGGGAGACTGTGGGAGACACTGGGAGACTCTGGGAGTCTCTGGGAGACTCTGGGAGACACTGGGAGACTCTGGGAGACTCTGGGAGACTCTGGAAGACACTGAGAGACACTGGGAGACTCTGGGAGACTCTGGAAGACACTGGGAGACACGGGGATACTCTGGGAGACACTGGGAGACTCTGGGAGACTCTGGAAGACACTGAGAGACACGGGGAGACTCTGGGAGACTCTGGAAGACACTGAGAGACACTGGGAGTCTCTGGGAGACACTGGGAGACACTGGGAGACTCTGGGAGACTCTGGGAGACACTGGGAGACTCTGGGAGACTCTGGCAGACTCTGGAAGACACTGAGAGTCACTGGGAGACTCTGGGAGACTCTGGAAGACACTGGGAGACACGGGGATACTCTGGGAGACTCTGGGAGACACTGGGAGACACGGGGATACTCTGGGAGACACTTGGAGACACTGGGAGACTCTGGGAGACACTGGGAGACTGTGGGAGACTCTTGGAGACACTGGGAAACTCTGGGAGACACTGGGAGACACGGGGAGACACTGGGAGACGCTGGGAGACACTGGGAGACACTGGGAGACTGTGGGAGACTGTGGGAGACACAGGGAGACACTGGGAGACACTGGGAGACTCTGGGAGACACTGGGAGACTCTGGGAGACACGGGGAGACACGGGAGCATCTGGGAGACACTGGGAGACTCTGGGAGACACTGGGAGACTCTGGGAGACACTGGGGAGACACGCGGAGACTCTGGGAGACTCTGGGAGACACTGGGAGACTCTGGGAGACTCTGGGAGACACTGGGAGACTCTGGGAGACACCGGGAGACACCGGGAGACTCTGGGAGACTCTGGGAGACAGCGGGAGACAGCGGGAGACAGCGGGAGACAGCGGGAGACTCCGGGAGACTCCGGGAGACTCCGGGAGACTCTGGGTAGGCACTGGGAGACACTGGGAGACTCTGGGAGACTCGGGAAGACTCTGGAAGACACTGGGAGACACGGGGATACTCTGGGAGACACTGGGAGACACGGGGAGACACGGGGAGACTCTGGGAGACACTGGGAGACTCTGGGAGACTGTGGGAGACTGTGGGAGACACTGGGAGACACTGGGAGACTCTGGGAGTCTCTGGGAGACACTGGGAGACACTGGGAGACTCTGGGAGACTCTGGGAGACTCTGGAAGACACTGGGAGACTCTGGGAGACTCTGGAAGACACTGGGAGACACGGGGATACTCTGGGAGACACTGGGAGACTCTGGGAGACTCTGGAATACACTGAGATACACGGGGAGACTCTGGGAGACTCTGGGAGACACTGGGAGACACGGGGATACTCTGGGAGACACTTGGAGACACTGGGAGACTCTGGGAGACACTGGGAGACTGTGGGAGACTCTTGGAGACACTGGGAGACTCTGGGAGACACTGGGAGACTCTGGGAGACACGGGGAGACACGGGAGCATCTGGGAGACACTGGGAGACTCTGGGAGACTCTGGGAGACACTGGGGAGACACGCGGAGACTCTGGGAGACTCTGGGAGACACTGGGAGACTCTGGGAGACACTGGGAGACTCTGGGAGACACCGGGAGACACCGGGAGACTCTGGGAGACTCTGGGAGACACTGGGAGACAGCGGGAGACAGCGGGAGACTCCGGGAGACTCCGGGAGACTCTGGGTAGGCACTGGGAGACACTGGGAGACTCTGGGAGACTCTGGAAGACTCTGGAAGACACTGGGAGACACGGGGATACTCTGGGAGACACTGGGAGACACGGGGAGACACGGGGAGACTCTGGGAGACACTGGGAGACTCTGGGAGACTGTGGGAGACACTGGCAGACACTGGGAGACTCTGGGAGACTCTGGGAGACACTGGGAGACTCTGGAAGACTCTGGGAGACTCTGGAAGACACTGAGAGACACTGGGAGACTCTGGGAGACTCTGGAAGACACTGGGAGACACGGGGATACTCTGGGAGACACTGGGAGACTCTGGGAGACTCTGGGAGACTCTGGAAGACACTGAGAGACACGGGGAGACTCTGGGAGACTCTGGAAGACACTGAGAGACACTGGGAGTCTCTGGGAGACACTGGGAGACACTGGGAGACACTGGGAGACTCTGGGAGACTCTGGGAGACTCTGGGAGACACTGGGAGACTCTGGGAGACTCTGGGAGACACTGAGAGACACTGGGAGACTCTGGGAGACTCTGGAAGACACTGGGAGACACGGGGATACTCTGGGAGACTCTGGGAGACACTGGGAGACACGGGGATACTCTGGGAGACACTTGGAGACACTGGGAGACTCTGGGAGACACTGGGAGACTGTGGGAGACTCTTGGAGACACTGGGAGACTCTGGGAGACACTGGGAGACACTGGGAGACACTGAGAGACACGGGGAGACACTGGGAGACGCTGGGAGACACTGGGAGACACTGGGAGACTGTGGGAGACTGTGGGAGACTGTGGGAGACACAGGGAGACACTGGGAGACACTGGGAGACTCTGGGAGACACTGGGAGACTCTGGGAGACTCTGGGAGACACTGGGAGACTCTGGGAGACACGGGGAGACACGGGAGCATCTGGGAGACACTGGGAGACTCTGGGAGACACTGGGAGACTCTGGGAGACTCTGGGAGACACTGTGGAGACACGCGGAGACTCTCGGAGACTCTGGGAGACACTGGGAGACTCTGGGAGACTCTGGGAGACACTGGGAGACTCTGGGAGACACCGGGAGACACCGGGAGACTCTGGGAGACTCTGGGAGACACTGGGAGACAGCGGGAGACAGCGGGAGACAGCGGGAGACTCCGGGAGACTCCGGGAGACTCCGGGAGACTCTGGGTAGGCACTGGGAGACACTGGGAGACTCTGGGAGACTCTGGAAGACTCTGGAAGACACTGGGAGACACGGGGATACTCTGGGAGACACTGGGAGACACGGGGAGACACGGGGAGACTCTGGGAGACACTGGGAGACTCTGGGAGACTGTGGGAGACTGTGGGAGACACTGGGAGACACTGGGAGACTCTGGGAGTCTCTGGGAGACACTGGGAGACACTGGGAGACTCTGGGAGACACTGGGAGACTCTGGGAGACTCTGGGAGACTCTGGAAGACACTGGGAGACTCTGGGAGACTCTGGAAGACACTGGGAGACACGGGGATACTCTGGGAGACACTGGGAGACTCTGGGAGACTCTGGGAGACTCTGGAAGACACTGAGAGACACGGGGAGACTCTGGGAGACTCTGGGAGACACTGGGAGACACGGGGATACTCTGGGAGACACTTGGAGACACTGGGAGACTCTGGGAGACACTGGGAGACTGTGGGAGACTCTTGGAGACACTGGGAGACTCTGGGAGACTCTGGGAGACTCTGGGAGACACTGGGAGACACTGAGAGACACGGGGAGACACTGGGAGACGCTGGGAGACACTGGGAGACACTGGGAGACTGTGGGAGACTGTGGGAGACACAGGGAGACACTGGGAGACACTGGGAGACTCTGGGAGACACTGGGAGACTCTGGGAGACTCTGGGAGACTCTGGGAGACACGGGGAGACACGGGAGCATCTGGGAGACACTGGGAGACTCTGGGAGACACTGGGAGACTCTGGGAGACACTGGGGAGACACGCGGAGACTCTGGGAGACTCTGGGAGACACTGGGAGACTCTGGGAGACTCTGGGAGACACTGCGAGACTCTGGGAGACACCGGGAGACACCGGGAGACTCTGGGAGACTCTGGGAGACACTGGGAGACAGCGGGAGACAGCGGGAGACTCCGGGAGACTTCGGGAGACTCCGGGAGACTCTGGGTAGGCACTGGGAGACACTGGGAGACTCTGGGAGACTCTGGAAGACTCTGGAAGACACTGGGAGACACGGGGATACTCTGGGAGACACTGGGAGACACGAGGAGACACGGGGAGACTCTGGGAGACTCTGGGAGACTGTGGGAGACTGTGGGAGACACTGGGAGACTCTGGGAGTCTCTGGGAGACACTGGGAGACACTGGGAGACTCTGGGAGACACTGGGAGACTCTGGGAGACTCTGGGAGACTCTGGAAGACACTGGGAGACTCTGGGAGACTCTGGAAGACACTGGGAGACACGGGGATACTCTGGGAGACACTGGGAGACTCTGGGAGACTCTGGAAGGCACTGAGAGACACGGGGAGACTCTGGGAGACTCTGGAAGTCACTGAGAGACACTGGGAGTCTCTGGGAGACACTGGGAGACACGGGGAGACTCTGGGAGACTCTGGAAGACACTGAGAGACACTGGGAGACTCTGGGAGACTCTGGAAGACACTGGGAGACACGGGGAGACACTGAGAGACACGGGGAGACACGCTAATCCCACCACCCTGCCCCCCCCCCAGGAGACAAGGATGACGATGACGAGGAGGAGGAGCAGGAGGAGAAGTTGCTGCTGCTGCTGCCCACACTGCAGGGGCAGCAGCAGCAGCAGCACGGGCGCATCGGCGGCGCTGCCCACGTGGGAGCGGGCGCCTCAGGGAGTGGGGCATCGCGAGGGAGCGGTGGTGGTGGCGGTGGCGGTGGTGGTGGTGGTGGCCGTGGCGGCCGCGGCGGTGGTGGTGGCGGTGGCCTGCCCCAGCAGAGCAGCTCTGAGCAGCCCGAGCCAGAGCACGGGGACTTCGAGATGGTGGTGAGTGCAGTGGTGGTGGTGGTGGTGAATGTCGTGGTGGTGGTGGTGAGTGTGGTGGTGGTGGTGGTGAGTGTGGTGGTGGTGGTGGTGAGTGTCGTGGTGGTAGTGGTGGTGAGTGTCGTGGTGGTGTGTGTCGTGGTGGTGGTGGTGAGTGTCGTGGTGGTGGTGGTGAGTGTCGTGGTGGTGGTGGTGGTGGTGAGTGTCGTGGTGGTGAGTGTAGTGGTGGTGAGTGTAGTGGTGAGTGGTGGTGGTGAGTGTCGTGGTGGTAGTGGTGAGTGTCGTGGTGGTGGTGGTGAGTGTAGTGGTGAGTGTCGTGGTGGTGGTGGTGGTGGTGAGTGTCGTGGTGGTGGTGAGTGTCGTGGTGGTGGTGGTGAGTGTCGTGGTGGTGAGTGTAGTGGTGGTGGTGGTGGTGAGTGTCGTGGTGGTGAGTGTAGTGGTGGTGAGTGTCGTGGTGGTGAGTGTAGTGGTGGTGAGTGTCGTGGTGGTGAGTGTCGTGGTGGTGAGTGTGGTGGTGAGTGTAGTGGTGAGTGGTGGTGGTGAGTGTCGTGGTGGTAGTGGTGAGTGTCGTGGTGGTGGTGGTGAGTGTAGTGGTGAGTGTCGTGGTGGTGGTGAGTGTCGTGGTGGTGGTGGTGGTGAGTGTCGTGGTGGTGATGGTGGTGAGTGTCGTGGTGGTGGTGAGTGTCGTGGTGGTGGTTAGTGTCGTGGTGGTGGTTAGTGTCGTGGTGGTTAGTGTCGTGGTGGTGGTGAGTGTCGTGGTGGTGGTGGTGGTGAGTGTCGTGGTGGTGGTGGTGGTGGTGGTGAGTGTCGTGGTGATGGTGGTGGTGGTGGTGGTAAGTGTTGTGATGGTGAGTGTCATGGTGGTGAGTGTCGTGATGGTGGTGGTGGTGGTGAGTGTCGTGATGGTGAGTGTCATGGTGGTGAGTGTCGTGGTGGTTGTGAGTGTCGTGGTGGTGGTGGTAAGTGTTGTGATGGTGAGTGTCATGGTGGTGAGTGTCGTGATGGTGGTGGTGGTGGTGAGTGTCGTGATGGTGAGTGTCGTGGTGGTTGTGAGTGTCGTGGTGGTGGTGAGTGTGGCAGTGGTGAGTGTTGTGGTGGTGGTGGTGAGTGTGGTGGTGGTGGTGAGTGTGGTGGTGGTGGTGAGTGTGGTGGTGAGTGTGGTGGTGGTGAGTGTCATGGTGGTGAGTGTAGTGGTGAGTGTCGTGGTGGTGGTGAGTGTGATGGTGAGGGTGGTGGTGGTGGTGAGTGTGGTGGTGGTGGTGAGTGTGGTGGTGGTGATGGTGGTGGTGGTGGTTATGGTGGTAAGTGTTGTGGTGGTGAGTGTCATGGTGGTGAGTGTAGTGGTGAGTGTCGTGGTGGTGGTGAGTGTCGTGGTGGTGGTGAGTGTGATGGTGGTGGTGGGGGTGAGTGTCGTGGTGGTGGTGAGTGTGGTGGTGGTGGTGGTGAGGGTGGTGGTGGTGAGTGTGGTGGTGGTGGTGAGTGTTGTGGAGGTGGTGGTGGTGAGTGTGGTGGTGGTGGTGGTGAGTGTGGTGGTGGTGGTGGTGGTGAGTGGTGGTGTTGGCGGTGAGTGTGGGTGGTGGTGCTGGCGGTGTGTGTGGGTGGTGGTGGTGGTGGTGGTGGTGGTGGAGGTGGTGGTGGTGGTGAGTGATGTCCCTGCCTACGATCCATCCTCGACTAAACCACCAGGCTGGATTGTGTGTGGAGCTCACAAATCCTTGAAAGATCTGGGACAAATTCCCCATCGGTGAGCTCCTCCGGTAGGCGAGGCTGCGTTGGCTGGGCCATGCAGACCGCATGCCCAGCCACCGCTTGCCTAGACAGCTTTTGTTTGGCCGGATAGAGGGGGGGCTAGACGGGCACGACACGGGCTTGAGAAGAGAGGGAGCTGATTGGGTGAGTGGTACGGGCTAAAGAAGACATGGAGCTGCTGAGGTACAAGAGGACGTGAAGCCGAGTGGATTTGCCGATGACCGGTACCAGCGGTGTCAAAATCGGCCTCTGTGGAGGGGAGGAGGCAGTCGCCCTCCAGTCGCAATGGAGGGCAGAGGAGCGACGCTCACAACAACGAGCGGAGCGCCTGGCGGCTAAAGCACAGCAGGTTGGCACAGTAGGGGGGCACAGGTGGTGCATCGGCCACTCATCTCAGTCAGTCGACCCGTGGCACCTGCTGGGTCTGTCCCGTGACCTCCTGCCAGCGGGCGTTCGACACCTCACGTGGCCTTCACGTGCACCTAGCCTGGCACAATCACTACGGTGACGTCACCACCACTTAGTGTTGAATGGCGGTTGCTGGTGGTGGTGATGGTGGTGAGTGCGATGTGTCTGTAACGCACACACTGCCGAGACAGCCCAGACTATCCCATTATACTGCTGATGCAATTACTACTACTGCTGCTACTGGTGGTACTACTACTGCTGCTACTGGTGGTACTACTGCTACTGTTGGTACTACTGCTGCTGCTACTACTACTGCTGCTACTGCTGCTACTGGTGGTACTACTGGTGGTACTACTGCTACTACCGCTACTACTGCTGCTACTGCTGCTACTACTGCTACTACTACTACTACTGCTGCTACTGCTACTGCTCCTACTACTGCTGCTATTACTACGACTGCTACTACTGCTGCTACTCCTACTGCTACTACTACTGCTGCTGCTATTACTACGACTGCTACTACTACTGGTACTACTACTGCTCTTACTACTACTACTCCTACTACTACTGCTGCTACTACTACTGGTACTACTACTGCTCTTACTACTACTACTGCTACTACTGCTCCTACTGCTACTGCTCCTACTACTGCTACTGCTCCTACCGCTGCTGCTGCTGCTGCTGCTGACGGTGCCATCGCCTCTTGCCGCCACCGCCGCGTGCTTTCCAGCCGGAGGGCATGGTGCTGGAGGGCGGTGCTGACGTCGTGGCCGCCGGCGCCGGAGAGTCGTCCTTGGAGGCGCTGCTGGCCGGGGCCGAGGGCTTCCCTCCGACGCTCGACATCCCTCCGGACGCGGACGACGAGACGATGGTGGAGCTGGCCATCGCGCTCAGCCTGCAGCAGGACCAGCAGGGTGGGTGGTGGGAGACACGGGGAGACACGGGGGAGACACGGGGGAGACACGGGGGAGACACGGGGGAGACGCGGGGAGACGATGGTGGAGCTGGCCATCGCGCTCAGCCTGCAGCAGGACCAGCAGGGTGGGTGGTGGTGGTGGTGGTGGGAGACACGGGTGGAGACACGGGGGAGACAGGGGGAGACGGGGAGACACGGGTGGTGACGCGGGGGAGACGCGGGGAGACGCGGGGGAGACGCGGGGGAGACGCGGGGAGACGCGGGGAGACACGGGGAGACAGGGGGAGACACGGGGGAGACACGGGGAGTCACGGGGAGACACGGGGAGACAGGGGGAGACACGGGGGAGACACGGGGGAGACACGGGGGAGACACGGGGGAGACACGGGGGAGACACGGGGAGACACGGGGAGACACGGGGAAGAATGGGGGAGACACAGTGGAGACACGGGTGGAGACACGGGTGGAGACACGGGGGAGGCAGGGGTGGAGACACGGGTGGAGACACGGGGGAGACACGGTGGAGACGCGGGTGGAGACGCGGGGGAGACGCGGGTGGAGACACGGGGGAGACGCGGGGAGACGGGGAGACGCGGGGAGACACGGGGAAGACAGGGGGAGACAGGGGGAGACACGGGGAAGACGGGGAGACGCGGGGAGATGCGGGGGAGACGCGGGGGAGACACGGGGAGACAGGGGGAGACACGGGGGAGACACGGGGAGTCACGGGGAGACACGGGGAGACAGGGGGAGACACGGGGAGACACGGGGAAGAATGGGGGAGACACAGTGGAGACACGGGTGGAGACACGGGTGGAGACACGGGGGAGGCAGGGGTGGAGACACGGGTGGAGACACGGGGGAGACACGGTGGAGACGCGGGTGGAGACACGGGGGAGACGTGGGTGGAGACACGGGGGAGACGTGGGTGGAGACACGGGGGAGACGCGGGGAGACGGGGAGACACGGGGAAGACAGGGGGAGACAGGGGGAGACACGGGGAAGACGGGGAGACGCGGGGAGATGCGGGGGAGACGCGGGGGAGACACGGGGAAGACAGGGGGAGACAGGGGGAGACGCGGGGAGACGATGGTGGAGTTGGCCATCGCGCTCAGCCTGCAGCAGGACCAGCAGGGTGGGTGGTGGTGGTGGTGGTGGTGGGAGACACGGGGAGAGGGAGGGAGACAAGGGGAGGGAGGGAGACACAGGGAGGGAGACACAGGGAGGGAGACACAGGGAGGGAGACACAGAGAGGGAGACACAGAGAGGGAGACACAGAGAGGGAGACACAGAGAGGGAGACACAGGGAGGGAGACACAGAGAGGGAGACACAGAGAGGGAGACACAGAGAGGGAGACACAGAGAGGGAGACACAGAGAGGGAGACACGGGGAGAGGGAGACACGGTGAGGTAGTGTTGAGTTGCTTTCCACCCACCCCCTCTCTGCCACAGTGCCGGCCTTCATAGGAGCGGCTGCTGCTGCTACTCGCTACTAACAGCACGCGTGTGTGTGTATAATGTGTGCGTATGTGTGTATAATGCGTGTGTGTGTGTAGCGTGTGTGTGTATAATGTGTGTGTCTGTGTGTATAATGTGTGTGTCTGCGTGTGTATAATGTGTCTGTGTGTGTATAATGTGTGTATGTGTGTGTATAATGTGTGTGTGTGTATAATGCGTGCGCGTGTGTGTGTGTGTAGCGTGTGTGTGTATAATGTGTGCGTGTGTGTGTGTGTATAATGCGTGTGTGTGTGTGTAGCGTGTGTGTGTATAATGTGTGTGTCTGTGTGTGTGTATAATGCGTATGTGTATATAATGCGTGTGTGTGTGTCTGTGTGTGTATAATGCATATGTGTGTGTATAATGCGTGTGTGTGTGTGTAGCGTGTGTGTGTATAATGTGTGTGTCTGTGTGTGTATAATGCGTGTGTGTGTAGCGTGTGTGTGTATAATGTGTGTGTCTGTGTGTGTATAATGCGTGTGTGTGTGTAGTGTGTGTGTATAATGCGTGTGTGTGTGTAGTGTGTGTGTATAATGCATGTGTGTGTAGTGTGTGTGTATAATGCGTGTGTGTGTAGTGTGTGTGTATAATGCGTGTGTATAATGCGTGTGTGTGTATAATGCGTGTGTATAATGCATGTGTGTGTATAATGCGTGTGTGTGTATAATGCGTGCGTGTGTCTGTGTATAATGCGTGTGTGTGTGTATAATGCGTGCGTGTGTCTGTGTATAATGCGTGTCTGTGTGTATAATGCGTGCGTGTGTCTGTGTGTATAATGCGTGCGTGTGTCTGTGCGTGTGTAAAATGCGTGCGTGTGTGTAGCGTGTGTGTATAATGTGTGTATATAATGTGTGTGTGTAATGCGTGCGTGTGTATAATGCGTGTGTGTGTGTCTGTGTGTGTGTATAATGCGTGTGTGTGTCTGTGTGTGTATATAATGTGTGTATAATGTGTGTCTGTGTGTGTAGCTATAATGGGTGTCTGTGTGTGTGTTTAATGTGTGTCTGTGTGTGTAGCTATAATGTGTGTGTGTGTATAATGCGTGTGTGTGTAGCTATAATGTGTGTCTCTGTGTGTGTAGCTATAATGCGTGTGTGTGTGTGTGTGTAATGCGCGTGTGTGTAGCTATAATGTGTGTCTGTGTGTATAATGTGTATGTGTGTCTGTGTGTATAATGTGTGTCTGTGTGTATAATGTGTGTCTGTGTGTATAATGTGTGTCTGTGTGTATAATGTGTGTCTGTGTGTGTGTTTATAATGCATGTGTGTGTGTAGCGTGTGTGTGTGTGTGTGTTTATAATGCGTGTGTGTGTATAATGCGTGTGTGTGTGTGTAGCGTGTGTCTGTGTGTGTAGCTATAATGTGTGTCTGTGTGTGTGTAGCGTGTGTCTGTGTGTGTAGCTATAATGCGTGTCTGTGTGTCTGTAGCTATAATGCGTGTCTGTGTGTGTGTAGCGTGTGTCTGTGTATGTAGCTATAATACGTGTCTGTGTGTGTGTGTAGCGTGTGTCTGTGTATGTAGCTATAATACGTGTCTGTGTGTGTAGCTATAATGCGTGTCTGTGTGTGTGTAGCTATAATGCGTGTCTGTGTGTGTGTAGCTATAATGCGTCTGTGTGTGTGTAGCGTGTGTCTGTGTGTGTAGCTATAATGCGTGTTTGTGTGTCTGTAGCTATAATGCGTGTCTGTGTGTGTGTTTAATGTGTGTCTGTGTGTGTAGCTATAATGCGTGTGTGTGTATATAATGCGTGTGTGTGTAGCTATAATGTGTGTCTGTGTGTATAATGCGTGTGTGTGTGTAGCGTGTGTCTGTGTGTGTGTTTAATGTGTGTCTGTGTGTGTGTTTAATGTGTGTCTGTGTGTGTGTTTAATGTGTGTCTGTGTGTGTGTTTAATGTGTGTCTGTGTGTGTGTTTAATGTGTGTCTGTGTGTGTGTTTAATGTGTGTCTGTGTGTGTGTATAATGTGTGTATATAATGTGTGTGTTTAATGTGTGTCTGTGTGTGTGTTTAATGTGTGTCTGTGTGTGTAGCTATAATGTGTGTCTGTGTGTGTGTTTAATGTGTGTCTGTGTGTGTAGCTATAATGTGTGTCTGTGTGTGTGTTTAATGTGTGTCTGTGTGTGTGTTTAATGTGTGTCTGTGTGTGTGTTTAATGTGTGTCTGTGTGTGTGTTTAATGTGTGTCTGTGTGTGTGTTTAATGTGTGTCTGTGTGTGTGTTTAATGTGTGTCTGTGTGTGTGTTTAATGTGTGTCTGTGTGTGTGTTTAATGTGTGTCTGTGTGTGTGTTTAATGTGTGTCTGTGTGTGTGTTTAATGTGTGTCTGTGTGTGTGTTTAATGTGTGTCTGTGTGTGTGTTTAATGTGTGTCTGTGTGTGTGTTTAATGTGTGTCTGTGTGTGTGTTTAATGTGTGTCTGTGTGTGTGTTTAATGTGTGTCTGTGTGTGTGTTTAATGTGTGTCTGTGTGTGTGTTTAATGTGTGTCTGTGTGTGTGTTTAATGTGTGTCTGTGTGTGTGTTTAATGTGTGTCTGTGTGTGTGTTTAATGTGTGTCTGTGTGTGTGTTTAATGTGTGTCTGTGTGTGTGTTTAATGTGTGTCTGTGTGTGTGTTTATGTGTGTCTGTGTGTGTGTTTAATGTCTGTCTGTGTGTGTGTTTAATGTCTGTCTGTGTGTGTGTTTAATGTGTGTCTGTGTGTGTAGCTACAATGTCTGTGTGTGTGTATAATGTGTGTCTGTGTGTGTGTTTAATGTGTGTATATAATGTGTGTGTTTAATGTGTGTCTGTGTGTGTGTTTATGTGTGTCTGTGTGTGTGTTTAATGTCTGTCTGTGTGTGTGTTTAATGTGTGTCTGTGTGTGTGTTTAATGTGTGTCTGTGTGTGTAGCTACAATGTCTGTGTGTGTGTATAATGTGTGTCTGTGTGTGTGTTTAATGTGTGTATATAATGTGTGTGTTTAATGTGTGTCTGTGTGTGTGTTTAATGTGTGTCTGTGTGTGTGTTTAATGTGTGTCTGTGTGTGTGTTTAATGTGTGTCTGTGTGTGTGTTTAATGTGTGTCTGTGTGTGTGTTTAATGTGTGTCTGTGTGTGTGTTTAATGTGTGTCTGTGTGTGTGTGTGCCACAGCGGGCGGTGGTGGCGCCCTGCGCCTGCAGAGCCTCGTGCTGCCCGCACAGACACAGAGCTCCTCGTCGCTGGACGCGGGCACACTCTCAGACACCACCGCCTCGGGTGAGACACCCACACAGACACCCGCACAGACACCCGCACAGACACCCGCACAGACACCCGCACAGACACCCGCACAGACACCGTGAACCCCACCCACCCACACGGACACCGTGAACCCCACCCACCCACACAGACACCGTGAACCCCACCCACCCACACGGACACCGTGAACCCCACCCACCCACACGGACACCGTGAACCCCACCCACCCACACGGACACCGTGAACCCCACCCACCCACACGGCCACCGTGAACCCCACCCACCCACACGGACACCGTGAACCCCACCCACCCACACGTCCGTCGTGAACCCCACCCACCCACACGGCCACCGTGAACCCCACCCACCCACACGGACACCGTGAACCCCACCCACCCACACGTCCGTCGTGAACCCCACCCACCCACACGGCCGTCGTGAACCCGGTGGTTGTTGTCGTTGTTGTTGTCATCGTTGTTGTTGTTGTCATCGTTGTTGTTGTTGTCATCGTTGTTGTTGTTGTCATCGTTGTTGTTGTTGTTGTCATCGTTGTTGTTGTCATCGTTGTTGTCATCGTTGTTGTTGTTGTTGTCATCGTTGTTGTTGTCATCGTTGTTGTTGTCATCATTGTTGTTGTCATCGTTGTTGTTGTCATCGTTGTTGTCATCGTTGTTGTCATCGTTGTTGTCATCGTTGTTGTTGTCATCGTTGTTGTTGTTGTTGTTGTCATCGTTGTTGTTGTTGTTGTCATCGTTGTTGTTGTTGTTGTTGTTGTCATCGTTGTTGTTGTTGTTGTCATCGTTGTTGTTGTCATCGTTGTTGTTGTCATCGTTGTTGTTGTTGTCATCGTTGTCATCGTTGTTGTTGTTGTTGTTGTCATCGTTGTTGTTGTTGTTGTTGTCATCGTTGTTGTTGTTGTCATCGTTGTTGTTGTTGTTGTCATCGTTGTTGTTGTTGTCATCGTTGTTGTTGTTGTCATCGTTGTTGTTGTTGTTGTCATCGTTGTTGTTGTTGTCATCGTTGTTGTTGTTGTTGTCATCGTTGTTGTTGTTGTTGTCATCGTTGTTGTTGTTGTTGTCATCGTTGTTGTTGTTGTCGTTGTCATCGTTGTTGTTGTTGTTGCTGCTGCACTGCCCCTCCAGCGCCAGCGTCCGATGACGAGGGCTCCACTATGGCTACGGACGGCTCCACGCTGCGCACCTCACCGGCTGAGCCGCACGCCGGCAGCGCAGCCGGCAGCAGCAGCTCGGAGAGCGGGGGCAGCGCCGTGGGCTCCGTCGCCGGGGACCACAACGGTGTGCACCTAGCCTGGCACCGCCGCTGTCGCTACGGCCGCTATCACTGTCACTACCACCACCACTGTCACCACCACCACTGTCACCACCACCACTGTCACTACCACCACCGTCACTACCACCACTGTCACTACCACCACTGTCACTGTCACTACCACCACCACTGTCACTACCACCACTGTCACTACCACCACTGTCACTACCACCACTGTCACTACCACCACTGTCACTACCACCACTGTCACTACCACCACTGTCACCACCACCACTGTCACTACCACCACTGTCACTGTCACTACCACCACCACTGTCACTACCACCACTGTCACTACCACCACCGTCACTGTCACCACTGTCACTACCACCACTGTCACCACCACCACTGTCACTACCACCACCACTGTCACTACCACCACCACTGTCACTACCACCACCACTGTCACTACCACCACTGTCACTACCACCACTGTCACTACCACCACTGTCACTACCACCACTGTCACTACCACCACCACTGTCACTACCACCACTGTCACTACCACCACTGTCACTACCACCACCACTGTCACTACCACCACCACTGTCACCACCACCACCGTCACTACCACCACCGTCACCACCACCACTGTCACCACCACCACTGTCACTACCACCACTGTCACTACCACCACTGTCACTACCACCACCGTCACTACCACCACTGTCACTACCACCACCACTGTCACTACCACCACCAGTGTCACTACCACCACCACCGTCACCACCACCACTGTCACCACCACCACTGTCACCACCACCACTGTCACCACCACCACTGTCACTACCACCACTGTCACTACCACCACCACCACTGTCACCACCACCGCTGTCACCACTGTCACCACCACCACTGTCACCACCACCACTGTCACTACCACCACCACTGTCACTACCACCACCACCGTCACCACCACCACCACCACCGTCACCACCACCGCTGTCGCCTCTACATCATCACTCCCCGCATTGGCACTGGGCCAGGCTAAGGCCAGTCCACCAAGTGAGCCTCTCCCCCGCCCCTCCGTGTGCCCCGCCGCAGTGTCTGGCCGCAGCAGCGCGTACGGCGACGGCGCCGCCGAGGGCCCGGCCCGTGGGCCGGGCAGCGTGACGTCCAGCACGGGCGCCGTCAGCACCACCATGGGCCACCAGGAGGGCGACGGCTCCGAGGGGGAGGGGGAGGCCGACGGGGACCTGGGCACCACCAACCGGTGATGGTGGGGGGTGGAGGGTGTGGGGGGTGATGGGGTGTGGGGGGTGTGGGGGGGGGGTGATGTGGAGGGGGGTGGAGGGGGCACAGAGCGGGGGGGGGGGGGGGGTTTAGGGGTCAAGGGTTAAGGGGGCCGGAGTTTGGGGTTAGCGTTACTGGGACTGGGTTAGGTGGTGTAGTGGTGTAGGGGTGTAGTGGTGTAGTAGTTAGGTGGTGTAGTGGTGTAGTGGGTTAGGTGGTGTAGTGGTGTAGTGGTGTAGTAGTTAGGTGGTGTGGTGGTGTAGGGGTGTAGTGGTGTAGTAGTTAGGTGGTGTAGTGGTGTAGTGGGTTAGGTGGTGTAGTGGTGTAGTAGTTAGGTGGTGTAGTGGTGTAGTGGGTTAGGTGGTGTAGTGGTGTAGTAGTTAGGTGGTGTAGTGGTGTAGTAGTTAGGTGGTGTAGTAGTTAGGTGGTGTAGTGGTGTAGTGGTGTAGGGGCTGTAGTGGTGTAGTAGTTAGGTGGTGTAGTGGTGTAGTGGTTAGGTGGTGTAGTGGTGTAGTGGTTAGGTGGTGTAGTGGTGTAGTGTTTAGGTGGTGTAGTGGGTTAGGTGGTACAGTGTTTAGGTGGTGTAGTGTTTAGGTGGTGTAGGGGTTAGGGGTTGTGCCTATGGTTTAGGGTTACGGTGGTGGTAGTCTTTGTGGTTCGGTAATGGCACGTCCTCTGGTCCTAACACCCGTTTGAGACGAGGCTCAACAAGAAAGCTGTCTCTCTGGTGTGGACCAGTCGGTCTCAAAGGACAATGCACATGTACTATCAGAGCGTGTTTCTCGTTTGCACCACAAGCATCTGTGGCTGATGCAGACGTGATTCCTCGCAAGAGGCTGTCGTGTTGCCAGAAAAACGGGGGAAAAGGCCACCGTAATAGGTTTTTTTACCCCTTTTAACTGGCACACAAACTGACACCTTTATTCAAGGCATCATGTTCGCAATAACCACAACACAAGCAGTCAAAATGCAAACAAAAAGAGTCAACTCTGATAATAATGATATTGGCACTGTCCTCGAATTTGATTGGTCCACACCCGAGACGGCTTTTCTTAGAGCCCTTTAGTCTCCACTGGTGTTGGACCAGAAGACGCCAAAAGGCGTCGCACAACTCAAAAACAGCGCACTTGTCAGAGTATTGAGGGCTCGGGGTGAGCATTTACATTATGAGACCTCATCCTTTGCCAGTAACAGGATATAGTGATAGGCTTTTTACCCTTTTAACTGGCACAAAAAAATTCCATGATGCCTTGAACAGAGGTGTCAGTTTTTTTTTTTGTGTGTGTGTGTGTGCCGGTTAAAAGGGTAAAACCTATTACTAGATCTTGTTTACTGGCAAAAAGGACGAGTTGCCGATGGGCGGCCGAGCGTGCACGGCCTGCGGTATCACCGCCAGCTGTGAGCGCGCTCCCGGCCTGCCCACACGCCCCCCCCAACACACACAGTGCCGGGCGTTCACCACCACCACCACCACCACCACCCTCCCCGTGTCTCGCGCTCATGGCCGCAGGCTGCACATGGTGAGGCTGATGCTTCTGGAGCGACTGCTGCAGTACCTGCCGCAAGTTCACACAGTGGGAGGGGTGCGAGCCATCCCCTACATGCAGGTAGCTCGCTCGCGCGCGCGCGCACTTAGCCTGGCACAGCAGTCGACCCGTGATGATGATGATGATGATGGCGGCGACGATGATGGAGACGATGTTGCCAGGTGATCCTCATGCTGAGCTCGGTGATGTTGCTGATGGTGATGGTAACGACGCTCGTGATGTTGCCGACGCTGACGACGCTGACGACGATGACGACGATGCTGACTACGATGATGACGACGATGGGGACGACGATGGTGATGACGATGGTGATGACGACGATGATGACGACGATAATGACTACGATGCTGGCTATGATGATGACGACGATGCTGATGATGACGACGATGATGACGATGATGCTGGCTGTGATGACGACGATGCTGGCTATGATGACAACGATGCTGACGATGATGATGATGATGACGATGACGACGATGCTGGCTATGATGACGATGCTGACGACGATGATGATGACGACGATGCTGGCTATGATGACGATGCTGGCTATGATGACGACGATGCTGACGACGATGATAATGACGATGATAATGACGATGATAATGACGACGATGCTGACGACGATGCTGACGACGATGATTATGACGACGATGATAATGACGACGATGTTGCCAGGTGATCCTCATGCTGAGCTCGGACCTGGACGGCGACGATGAGAAGGACAAGGGGGCTCTGGACAACCTCCTCACGCGCCTCGTCGCTGAGCTGGCCATCGACAAGAAGAAGGTGCCTGCCGGGATCGGTCGTGTCGCTGGGGGTTCACGAAGGTCGTGTGGGTGGGGTCGAAGGTCGTGTTGGTGGGGTCGAAGGTCGTGTCGCTGGGCGTTCACGAAGGTCGTGTGGGTGGGGTCGAAGGTTGTGTGGGTGGGGTCGCGAAGGTCGTGTCGCTGGGGGTTCACGAAGGTCGTGTGGGTGGGGTCGAAGGTCGTGTGGGTGGGGTCGAAGGTCGTGTGGGTGGGGTCGAAGGTCGTGTGGGTGGGGTCGAAGGTCGTGTGGGTGGGGTCGAAGGTCGTGTGAGTGGGGTTTATGAAGGTCGTGTGGGTGGGGTTCACGAAGGTCGTGTGGGTGGGGTCGAAGGTCGTGTGGGTGGGGTTCACGACGGCCGTGTGGGTGGGTGGGGTTCACGGTGGCCGTGTGGGTGGGTGTACGTCTGTGTGTACGTCTGTGTGTGTGTAACTCCATGTGTGTGCGTGTGTTACTCCACGCGTGTGCGTGTGTGTGTGTGCGTGTGTGCGTGTGTGTAACTCCACGCGTGTGTGTGTGTGTGTAACTCCACGCGTGTGTGTGTGTAATTCCACGCGTGTGTGTGTAACTCCACGCGTGTGTGTGCGTGTAATTCCACGCGTGTGTGCGTGTAACTCCACGCGTGTGTGTAACTCCACGCGTGTGTGTGCGTGTGTGTAACTCCACGCGTGTGTGTGCGTGTGTGTAACTCCACGCGTGTGTGTGCGTGTGTGTAATTCCACGCGTGTGTGCGTGTAATTCCACGCGTGTGTGCGTGTGTGTAACTCCACGCGTGTGTGTGCGTGTGTGTAACTCCACGCGTGTGTGCGTGTGTGTAACTCCACGCGTGTGTGTGCGTGTGTGTAACTCCACGCGTGTGTGCGTGTGTGTAACTCCACGCGTGTGTGTGTGTGTGTGTAACTCCACGCGTGTGTGTGCGTGTGTGTAACTCCACGCGTGTGTGCGTGTGTGTAACTCCACGCGTGTGTGCGTGTGTGTAACTCCACGCGTGTGTGTGTGTGTGTGTAACTCCACGCGTGTGTGCGTGTGTGTGTAACTCCACGCGTGTGTGCATGTGTGTAACTCCACGCGTGTGTGCATGTGTGTAACTCCACGCGTGTGTGTGTGTGTGTAACTCCACGCGTGTGTGCGTGTGTGTAACTCCCCGCGTGTGTGCGTGTGTGTAACTCCACGCGTGTGTGTGTGTGTGTAATTCCACGCGTGTGTGCGTGTGTGTAATTCCACGCGTGTGTGCGTGTGTGTAACTCCACGCGTGTGTGTGTGTGTAACTCCACGCGTGTAACTCCACGCGTGTGTGTGCGTGTGTGTACGTGCGTGTAACTCCACGCGTGTGTGTGTGTGTAACTCCACGCGCGTGTGTGTGTACGTGTGTGTAACTCCACGCGTGTGTGTGTGTGTGTGTGCATGTGTGTAACTCCACGCGTGTGTGTGCGTGTGTGTAACTCCACGTGTGTGTGTGTGTGCGTGTGTGTAACTCCACGTGTGTGTGTGCGTGTGTAACTCTGTAACTCCACGCGTGTGTGTGTGTGCGCGTGTGTGTAACTCCACGCGTGTGTGTGCGTGTGTGTGTGTGTGTGTAACTCCACGCGTGTGTGTGTGTGTAACTCCACGCGTGTGTGTGTAACTCCACGCGTGTGTGTGTGTAACTCCACGCGTGTGTGTGTGTGCGTGTGTGTAACTCCACGCGTGTGTGTGTGTGCGTGTGTGTAACTCCACGCGTGTGTGTGCGTGTGTGTAACTCCACGCGTGTGTGTGTGTAACTCCGTGTGTGTGTGTGTAACTCCACGCGTGTGTGTGTGTGCGTGTGTGTAACTCCACGCGTGTGTGTGTGTATGTGCGTCAGGACGTAGCAAAGAGGGCCGAGCGGACCCCTGCTAACGAGGTGACGCTGGTCATCATGCGTCTGCTCAGCGTCTTCATGTCGCGTACCAAAGCCTCCTCCTCCTCCTACAGGGCAGCCTCCAATGAGGTGGGGGCACTCACACACGGAGACCCACAGACTCACATAGAGACTCACAGACTCACACATAGAGACCCACAGATTCACCACACACAGAGACCCACAGATTCACCACACACAGAGACCCACAGACTCACCACACAGAGACCCACAGACTCACCACACACAGAGACCCACAGACTCACCACACACAGAGACCCACAGACTCACCACACAGAGACCCACAGACTCACCACACAGAGACCCACAGACTCACATAGAGACCCATAGACTCACCACACGGAGACCCACAGACTCACACACAGAGACCCACAGACTCACACACAGACTCACCACACATAGAGACCCACAGACTCACCACACAGAGACCCACAGACTCACATAGAGACCCATAGACTCACCACACGGAGACCCACAGACTCACACACAGAGACCCACAGACTCACCACACAGAGACCCACAGACTCACATAGAGACCCACAGACTCACACACAGACTCACCACACATAGAGACCCACACACTCACCACACACAGACACCCACAGACTCACCACACACAGACACCCACAGACTCACCACACGCAGACACCCACAGACTCACACACAGAGACCCACAGACTCACCACACAGAGACCCACAGACTCACATAGAGACCCACAGACTCACACACAGACTCACCACACATAGAGACCCACATACTCACCTCACACAGACACCCACAGACTCACCACACACAGAGACCCACAGACTCACCACACAGAGACATCCACAGACTCACCACACAGAGACACCCACAGACTCACCACGCACAGAGGCCCACAGACTCACCACACAGAGACCCACAGACTCACATAGAGACCCATAGACTCACCACACGGAGACCCACAGACTCACACACAGAGACCCACAGACTCACCACACAGAGACCCACAGACTCACATAGAGACACACAGACTCACACACAGACTCACCACACATAGAGACCCACAGACTCACCACACAGAGACCCATAGACTCACCACACGGAGACCCACAGACTCACACACAGAGACCCACAGACTCACCACACAGAGACCCACAGACTCACATAGAGACCCACAGACTCACACACAGACTCACCACACATAGAGACCCACACACTCACCACACACAGACACCCACAGACTCACCACACATAGACACCCACAGACTCACCACACGCAGACACCCACAGACTCACACACAGAGACCCACAGACTCACCACACAGAGACCCACAGACTCACATAGAGACCCACAGACTCACACACAGACTCACCACACATAGAGACCCACAGACTCACCTCACACAGACACCCACAGACTCACACACAGACACCCACAGACTCACCACACACAGAGACCCACAGACTCACCACACAGAGACACCCACAGACTCACCACACAGAGACACCCACAGACTCACCACGCACAGAGGCCCACAGACTCACCACACACAGAGACCCACAGACTCACCACACACAGACACCCACAGACTCACCACGCACAGAGACCCACAGACTCACCACACACAGACACCCACAGACTCACCACACGCAGAGACCCACAGACTCACCACACAAGACACCCACAGACTCGCCACACAGACACCCACAGACTCACCACACACAGACACCCACAGACTCACCACACACAGACACCCACAGACTCACCACACACAGACACACACAGATACCCTCAGACTCACCTCAAACAGACACCCACAGACTCACCACACACAGACACCCACAGACTCACCACACGCAGAGACCCACAGACTCACCACACAAGACACCCACAGACTCGCCACACAGACACCCACAGACTCACCACACAAAGAGACCCACAGACTCACCACACACAGACACCCACAGACTCACCACACACAGACACCACACAGACTCACCACACACAGACACCCACAGACTCGCCACACACAGACACCCACAGACTCACCACACACAGACACCCACAGACTCACCACACAGAGACCACACAGACTCGCCACACACAGATACCACACAGACTCACCACACACACACTCACCACACACACACACTCACCACACACACACACTCACCACACACACACACTCACCACACACACACACTCACCACACACAGACACACACACACAGACTCACCACACACACACACAGACACCACACACACACAGACACCACACACACACACTCACCACACACACACAGACACCACACACACACACACTCACCACACACACACAGACACCACACACTCACCACACACACACTCACCACACACACACTCACCACACACACACTCACCACACACACACACACCACACACACACACAGACTCACCACACACAGACACACACACACAGACTCACCACACACACACACAGACACCACACACACACACTCACCACACACACTCACCACACACACACACACACTCACCACACACACCACACACTCACCACACACTCACCACACACACACACCACACACACACTCACCACACACTCACCACACACACACACCACACACACACTCACCACACACACACAGACACCACACACACACACTCACCACATACACACAGACACCACACACACACACTCACCACATACACACAGACACCACACACACACACACTCACCACACACACACAGACACCACACACTCACCACACACACACTCACCACACACACACTCACCACACACACACTCACCACACACACACTCACCACACACACACACACTCACCACACACACACTCACCACACACACACACTCACCACACACACACTACACACAGACACCACACACTCACCACACACACCCCACACACACACACACTCACCACACACACACAGACTCACCACACACACACACACTCGCCACACACAGACTCACCACACACTCACCACACACACACACACACTCACTAAACACACACACACACCACACACACACACACACTCACCACACACTCACCACACACACACACTCACCACACACACACACTCACCACACACACACACACACCACACACTCACCACACACACACACGGACACCACACACCACACACACACACACTCACTACACACACACACACTCACCACACACACACACTCACCACACACACACACTCACCACACACACACACTCACCACACACACACACACACCACACACTCACCACACACACACACGGACACCACACACCACACACACTCACCACACACACACACACACCACACACACACACTCACCACAAACACACACTCACCACAAACACACACTCACCACACACTCACCACACACACACCACACACTCAACACACACTCACCACACACACACACACACACTCACCACACACACACACTCACCACAAACACACAGAGACTTAACCACGCAGGCCCCGCGACCGACGAATCCTCGCTCCCGTTTCTCTCCCATCGAACAAACGACCGCTCGCTCACCACCCCCCCTCCCTCCCCCTCCCTCCCCCCCTCCCTCCCCCCCTCCCTCCCCCTCCCTCCCCCTCCCTCCCCCTCCCCCCCTCCCTCCCCCCTCCCTCCCCCCTCCCTCCCCCCCGCCCAGCCCGCCCAGCCCCCGTCCCCACCGTGCACGGCATCGTCCCTCACCTCGAGCGCGACGGCAAGTGCCCTCCTCGCCTCCGGCGCCGTGGATCACTGCCTGCTCGTGCTGCGCACGCTGCTCGATTTCTGGCGAGGGCTGCAGCCGGACGACGACGCCGGCGGCGCCGCCTCCACCGCCTCCTCCGCCTCCTCCTCCTCCTCCGCCGCCTCCTCGTCGTCGTCCGTGGGGGGCCCGGCGGCCGCGGGCGGCGGTGGGGGCGGAGGAGGAGGGGGGGCGACGTCGGCCCAGCTGCTGCGGCCTCACACCACCGCACCCCCGCCAGACATGAGCCCCTTCTTCCTGCGGCAATACGTGCGGGTGAGCTGGGGGTTGGGGTGGGCTGGGGTTTGGGTGGGCTGGGTTGGGTGAGCTGGGGTTTGGGTAAGCTGGGTTGGGTGAGCTGGGTTGGGTGGGCTGGGGTTGGGTGGGGGGGGGTTGGGTGGGCTGGGGTTGGGTGGGCTGGGTTGGGTGGGCTGGGTTGGGTGAGCTGGGGTTGGGTGGGCTGGGTTGGGTGAGTTGGGTTGGGTGAGCTGGGTTGGGTGAGCGGGGGTTGGGTGAGCTGGGGTTGGGTGAGCTGGGTTTGGGTGAGCTGGGTTTGGGTGAGCTGGGTTTGGGTGAGCTGGGTTTGGGTGAGCTGGGTTGGGTGAGCGGGGTTGGGTGAGCTGGGGTTGGGTGAGCTGGGTTGGGTGAGCTGGGTTGGGTGAGCTGGGTTGGGTGAGCGGGGTTGGGTGAGCTGGGTCGGGTGAGCGGGTTGGGTGAGCGGGGTTGGGTGGGCTGGGTTGGGTGGGCTGGGTCGGGTGGGCGGGGTTTGGGTGAGCTGGGGTTGGGTGGGCTGGGTCAGGTGAGCGGGGTTGGGTGAGCGGGGTTGGGTGAGCGGGGTTGGGTGAGTGGGTTGGGTGAGCGGGGTTGGGTGAGCTGGGGTTGGGTGAGCGGGGTTGGGTGGGCTGGGGTTGGGTGAGCTGGGGTTTGGGTGGGCTGGGGTTGGGTGAGCTGGGGTTGGGTGGGCTGGGTTGGGTGGGCTGGGTTGAGTGAGCTGGGGTTGGGTGAGTTGGGTTGGGTGGGCTGGGTTGGGTGAGCTGGGTTGGGTGGGCTGGGTTTTGGTGAGCGGGGTTGGGTGAGTTGGGTTGGGTGGGCTGGGTTGGGTGAGCTGGGTTGGGTGAGCTGGGTTGAGTGAGCGGGTTGTTAGTTGGGTGAGTTGGGTGAGTGGGTTGTTAGTTGGGTGAGTTGGGTGAGTGGGTTGTTAGTTGGGTGAGCGGGTTGGGTGAGCTGGGTTGGGTGAGCAGGTTGTTAGTTGGGTGAGTTGGGTGAGTGGGTTGTTAGTTGGGTGAGCGGGTTGGGTGAGCTGGGTTGGGTGAGCGGGTTGTTAGTTGGGTGAGTTGGGTGAGTTGGTTGTTAGTTGGGTGAGCGGGTTGGGTGAGCGGGTTGGGTGAGCTGGTTGGGTGAGCGGGTTGTTAGTTGGGTGAGTTGTGAGTTGGGTGAGCGAGTTGTTAGTTGGGTGAGTGAGTTGTGAGTTGGGTGATTGGGTTGTTAGTTGGGTGGGTGAGTTGGGTGAGTTGGGTGAGTGAGGAGTGAGTTGGGTGAGTTGGGTGAGTGAGTTGGGTGGGTGAGTTGTAAGTAAGTTGAGTTGGGTAAGTGAGTTGTAAGTTGGATGGGTGAGTTGTGAGTTGGGTGGGTGAGTTGTAAGTAAGTTGTGAGTTGGGTAGGTGAGTTGTAAGTTGGGTGGGTGAGTTGTGAGTTGGGTGGGTGAGTTGTAAGTAAGTTGTGAGTTGGGTAGGTGAGTTGTAAGTTGGGTGGGTGAGTTGTGAGTTGGGTGGGTGATTTGTGAGTTGGGTGGGTGAGTTCTGAGTTTGGTGGGTGAGTTGTGAGTTGGGTGGGTGAGTTGTGAGTGGGTTGTTAGTTGGGTGGGTGAGTTGGGTGAGTGAGTTGGGTGGGTGAGTTGTGAGTTGGGTGGGTGATTTGTGAGTTGGGTGAGCGGGTTGTTAGTTGTGTGAGTTGTGAGTTGGGTGATTGGGTTGTTAGTTGGGTGAGTGAGGAGTGAGTTGGGTGAGTGAGTTGGGTGGGTGAGTTGTAAGTAAGTTGTGAGTTGGGTAGGTGAGTTGTAAGTTGGGTGGGTGAGTTGTGAGTTGGGTGGGTGAGTTCTGAGTTTGGTGGGTGAGTTGTGAGTTGGGTGGGTGAGTTGTGAGTGGGTTGTTAGTTGGGTGGGTGAGTTGGGTGAGTGAGTTGGGTGGGTGAGTTGTAAGTTGTGAGTTGGGTGGGTGAGTTGTGAGTTGGGTGGGTGAGTTCTGAGTTGGGTGAGTGAGGAGTGAGTTGGGTGGGTGAGTTGTAAGTAAGTTGTGAATTGGGTAGGTGAGTTGTAAGTAAGTTGTGAGTTGGGTGGGTGAGTTGGGTGAGCGAGTTGTTAGTTGGGCGAGTGAGTTGTGAGTTGGGTGAGTGGGTTAGTTGGGTGAGTTGTGAGTTGGGTGAGTTGTGAGTTGGGTGAGTTGTGAGTTGGGTGGGTGAGTTGTGTGAGTGAGGAGTGAGGAGTGAGTTGGGTGAGTTGTGAGTTGGGTGGGCGAGTTGTAAGTAAGTTGTGAGTTGGGTAGGTGAGTTGTAAGTTGGGTGGGTGAGTTGTGAGTTTGGTGGGTGAGTTCTGAGTTGTGAGTTTGGTGGGTGAGTTGTGAGTGGGTTGTGAGTTGGGTGGGTGAGTTGTGAGTTGGGTGGGTGAGTTGTGAGTTGGGTGGGTGAGTTGTAAGTTGGGTGGGTGAGTTGTGAGTTGGGTGGGTGAGTTGTAAGTTGGGTGGGTGAGTTGTGAGTTGGGTGAGTGAGTTGTGGGTGAGTTGTAAGTTTGGTGGGTGAGTTGTGAGTTGGGTGGGTGAGTTGTGAGTTGGGTGGGGGAGTTGTGAGTTGGGTGGGTGAGTTGTAAGTTGGGTGGGTGAGTTGTGAGTTGGGTGAGTGAGTTGTGAGTTTGGTGGGTGAGTTGTAAGTTGGGTGGGGAATACAAAAAAGAGCTTCATAGCTTCTCAGATTCCTCCGATGTGAGTAAAATAATTATCATGTGTACATCTCTCTAACTATATATGTGTTTTTTCTGTCTTGTGTGTATATATCTTTGTATGTCTCTGTCTCTGTGTCTTGTGTGTATATCTCTCTGTGTGTCTCTGTGTATCTGTCTTGTGTGTGTATATCTCTGTGTGTGTCTCTGTGTCTCTGTCTTGTGTGTGTGTGTATATATCTCTGTGTGTGTCTCTGTGTCTCTGTGTCTCTGTCTTGTGTATGTGTGTGTATATATCTCTGTGTGTGTCTCTGTGTCTGTCTTGTGTGTGTGTATATCTCTGTGTGTGTCTCTGTGTCTCTGTCTTGTGTGTGTTTGTGTATATCTCTGTGTGTCTCTGTCGTGTGTGTGTGTATATATCTCTGTGTGTGTCTCTGTGTCTGTCTTGTGTGTGTATATATATCTGTGTGTGTCTCTGTCTTGTGTATGTGTGTGTGTATATCTCTGTGTGTGTCTCTGTGTCTGTCTTGTGTATGTGTGTGTGTATATCTCTGTGTGTGTCTCTGTGTCTCTGTCTTGTGTATGTGTGTGTGTATATATCTCTGTGTGTGTCTCTGTCTTGTGTGTGTGTGTGTATATATCTCTGTGTGTGTGTCTCTGTGTCTCTGTCTTGTGTATGTGTGCGTGTGTGTATATATATGTGTGTGTCTCTGCGTCTTGTGTGTGTGTGTATATATATCTGTGTGTGTGTCTCTGTATCTCTGTGTCTTGTGTGTATATATACATCACTGCGTGTGTCTCTCTGTGTCTTGTGTGTCCGCGTGTGTTTGCCTGCAGGGCCACGCTGCGGATGTGTTTGAGGCCTACCCGCAGCTGCTCACAGAGATGGTGCTGCGGCTGCCCTACCAGATGAAGAAGACCGCTGACGGAGACCCCTCGCTGCCGCAGCCGGCGTTCGACCACGCGTGGTTCTACTACTTGTGCGAGGTGTGGGGACGCCACGGAGCCTGTGGGGGATGTTGACGACCTCGCCTGGTACACAGGAGGTCGTGGGTTCGATGCCCGTCCTGATGAGACGTTGGCTACCTCGCCTGGTACACAGTGGGTCGTGGGTTCGATCACCGACCCTGATGAGATGTTGGCTACCTCGCCTCGTACGCAGTGGGTCGTGGGTTCGATCCTGACCCTGATGAGATGTTGACTACCTCGCCTCGTACGCAGTGGGTCGTGGGTTCGATCCTGACCCTGATGAGACGTTAGCTACCTCGCCTGGTACGCAGGAGGTTGTGGGTTCGATCCTGACCCTGATGAGATGTTAACTACCTCGCCTCTTACGCAGTGGGTCGTCGATTCGATGCCCGTCCTGTTGAGACGTTGGCTACCTCGCCTGGTACACAGGAGGTCGTGGGTTCGATCCTGACCCTGATGAGATGTTGACTACCTCGCCTGGTACACAGTGGGTCGTGGGTTCGATCCTGACCCTGATGAGATGTTAACTACGTCACCTGGTACACAGGAGGCCGTGGGTTCGATCCTGACCCTGATGAGATGTTAACTACCTCGCCTGGTACGCAGTGGGTCGTGGGTTCGATCCTGAGCCTGATGAGCTGTTGACTACCTCGCCTGGTACGCAGGAGGTCGTGGGTTCGATCCTGACCCTGATGAGACGTTGGCTACCTCGCCTCGTACGCAGTGGGTCGTGGGTTCGATCCTGACCCTGATGAGATGTTAACTACCTCGCCTGGTTTACAGGAGGTCGTCGATTCGATGCCCGTCCTGATGAGACGTTGGCTACCTCACCTGGTACACAGTGGGTCGTGGGTTCGATCCCGACCCTGATGAGTTGTTAACTACCTCGCCTGGTACACAGGAGGTCGTGGGTTCGATCCTGACCCTGATGAGACGTTGGCTACCTCGCCTGGTACACAGTGGGTCGTGGGTTCGATCCTGACCCTGATGAGATGTTGGCTACCTCGCCTGGTACACAGGAGGTCGTGGGTTCGATCCCGACCCCTGACAATGCCTGCTGCTGCTGTATATTTGGATGACAAAGCAGTGAGACTCGGACTCACCACACAGAGACCCACAGACTCACCACACAGAGACACATAGACTCACCACACAGACACCCACAGACTCACCACACAGACTCACCACACAGAGACCCACAGACTCACCACACAGAGACCCACAGACTCACCACACAGAGACCCACAGACTCACCACACAGAGACCCACAGACTCACCACACAGAGACACCCACAGACTCACCACACAGACACCCACAGACTCACCACACAGAGACCCACAGACTCACCACACAGACTCACCACACAGAGACCCACAGACTCACCACACAGACTCACCACACAGAGACCCACAGACTCGCCACACAGAGACACCCACAGACTCACCACACAGAGACACCCACAGACTCACCACACAGAGACCCACAGACTCACCACACAGACTCGCCACACAGAGACCCACACAGACACCCACAGACTCACCACACAGAGACCCACACAGACACCCACAGACTCACCACACAGACTCGCCACACAGAGACCCACACAGACACCCACAGACTCACCACACAGAGACCCACACAGACACCCACAGACTCACCACACATACAACCACAGACTCACCACACAGACTCACCACACAGAGACCCACACCACACAGAGACACCCATAGACTCACCACACACAGACTCACACCCCACACAGACACCCACACCACACACAGAGACACACACAGACTCACCACACAGAGACCCACAGACTCACCACACAGACTCGCCACACAGAGACCCACACAGACACCCACAGACTCACCACACATACAACCACAGACTCACCACACAGACTCACCCCACACAGAGACACCCACAGACTCACCACACAGAGACACACCACACAGACTCACCACACACAGACACACCACACCACACACAGACACACCCGCACCACACACACAGACACACACACACCCCACGGGCTCACCCAACCCATCAACGAATAACCAATCTTCTCCCACTCCGTTCTCTCCCCACCCACCCACCACCACCACCACCACCCCCCCACCACCACCACCACCCCCCCACCACCACCACCCCCCCACCACCACCACCAGTACCTGATGACGCAGCAGCAGACGCCATTCGTGCGCCGTCAGGTGCGCAAGCTGCTCCTGTTCATCTGCGGCTCGAAGGAGCGCTACCGGCAGCTGCGCGACCTTCACGCGCTGGAGTCACACATGCGCTCCGTGCACCGCCTGCTGGAGGAGCAGGGCCTGCTGGCGCGGGGCGGCGGCGCCCCCATCGCGCTGGCGAGCGCCGCGACCCTGGTCGGGCAGAGCGGGCAGAGCGGGCCGGCGGGCGGAGGAGGCGGAGGGCCGACGCTGCAGTACGACACGCTGGTGGGGCTGGTGAGTTGTGTGTGGTGTGGTGGTGGTGTGGTGTGTGTGTGGGGGGTGTGTGGTGTGGGGGTGTGTGTGTGGGGGGGTGTGTGTGGTGTGTGTGGTGTGGTGTGTGTGGGTGGGTGGGTGTGGTGTGGGTGTGTGTGGTGTGTGGTGTGGTGTGTGGGTGTGGTGTGTGTGGGCGGGTGTGTGGGTGGGCGTGTGGGCGGGTGGGCGGGTGGGCGGGTGTGCGGGTGGGCGGGTGGGCGTGTGGGTGGGTTGGTTGGAGGTGGGTGCGTGGGTGGGTGCGTGTGCGGGAGGGTGGGTGGGTGTGTGGGTGGGTGTGTGGGTGGGTGGGTTGGAGGTGCGAGGTGGGTGGGTGTGATTGTAGTGATAGGCCGACGCTTCAATACGACACGCTGGTGGGGCTGGTGGTGGGTGGGTGAGTGAGTGAGTGAGTGGGTGGGAGATGGGTGGGTGGGTGAGTGGGTGGGAGATGGGTGGGTGGGTGGAGATGGTAATGATGATGTTGGCGAGCACCTATGAAGGCTAGCACCACGCCCGCCCTCGCCACCACCGTCACCACCACCACCACCGTCACCACCACCACCACCGTCACCACCACACCACCGTCACCACCACCCCACCGTCACCACCACCGTCACCACCACCACCACTGTGCCGTGCCGACATTGGTGGGCGCTGGCTGACGTACCCCTCCCCACCTCCTCTCTCTCTACCCCCCATTTCCCCCCCCATTTCCCCCCCTCCCTCCCTCCCCTCCCCCCAGATGGAGCACTTGAAGGCCTGTGCTGAGGTGGCCACTCAGCGCACCGTCAACTGGCAGAAGTTCTGCTTGAAGGAGGACAGTGAGTGGGGAGGGGGGAGTTCATAGTGGCCTGGTCTGTCTGAGGGGTTCATAGTGGCCTGGTCTGTCTGAGGGGCTGATTGTGGCCTGGTCTGTGTGAGGGGTTCATAGTGGCCTGGTCTGTCTGAGGGGTTCATAGTGGCCTGGTCTGTCTGAGGGGTTCATAGTGGCCTGGTCTGTCTGAGGGGTTCATAGTGGCCTGGTCTGTCTGAGGGGTTCATAGTGGCCTGGTCTGTCTGAGGGGTTCATAGTGGCCTGGTCTGTGTGAGGGGTTCATGGTGGCCTGGTCTGTCTGAGGGGTTCATAGTGGCCTGGTCTGTCTGAGGGGTTCATAGTGACCTGGTCTGTCTGAGGGGTTCATGGTGGCCTGGTCTGTCTGAGGGGTTCATAGTGGCCTGGTCTGTCTGAGGGGTTCATAGTGACCTGGTCTGTCTGAGGGGTTCATGGTGACCTGGTCTGTCTGAGGGGTTCATAGTGACCTGGTCTGTCTGAGGGGTTCATAGTGACCTGGTCTGTGTGAGGGGTTCATAGTGGCCTGGTCTGTCTGAGGGGTTCATAGTGACCTGGTCTGTCTGAGGGGTTCATAGTGGCCTGGTCTGTCTGAGGGGTTCATAGTGGCCTGGTCTGTCTGAGGGGTTCATAGTGGCCTGATCTGTGTGAGGGGTTCATAGTGGCCTGGTCTGTCTGAGGGGTTCATAGTGGCCTGGTCTGTCTGAGGGGTTCATGGTGGCCTGGTCTGTCTGAGGGGTTCATGGTGGCCTGGTCTGTCTGAGGGGTTCATAGTGGCCTGGTCTGTCTGAGGGGTTCATAGTGGCCTGGTCTGTCTGAGGGGTTCATGGTGTCCTGGTCTGTCTGAGGGGTTCATAGTGGCCTGGTCTGTCTGAGGGGTTCATAGTGACCTGGTCTGTCTGAGGGGTTCATGGTGGCCTGGTCTGTCTGAGGGGTTCATAGTGGCCTGGTCTGTCTGAGGGGTTCATAGTGGCCTGGTCTGTGTGAGGGGTTCATATTGGCCTGGTCTGTCTGAGGGGTTCATAGTGCCCTGGTCTATCTGAGGGGTTCATGGTGACCTGGTCTGTCTGAGGGGTTCATTGTGACCTGGTCTGTCTGAGGGGTTCATAGTGGCCTGGTCTGTCTGAGGGGTTCATAACGGCTGAGTTGGCTCAGATCGATCCACACAACCACCGACCCATCCACCCAACCACCGACCCATCCACCCAACCACCCAGCCACCACTCACACCACCCACCCACTCACTCACCCACCCACCACTTACTCACCCACTCACCCATCCACTCACCCACCCACTCACCCAGCCACCTCTCAATCATCCACCCATCCAACCACTCGCACATCCACTCGCTCACCTACCTGAACACCCACTCATTCACCCAGCCACCACTCATCCACCACTCATCCACCCGTCCAACCCACCTGCACACTCATCCACTCACCCGCTCACTCACCCATCCGGCCACCCACTCACTCACCCATCCAGCCCACCCACTCACTCATCCGTGCACCCACCCACTCACCTACCCACTCACTCAACCACCCACCCACCTACCCACTCACTCACCTACCCATCCACTCACCCACTCACCCACGCCTCTCACCCTTCACACACCCGCCTCCTAACCCCCCCCCCTCTCTCACCCCCCTCCCACCCCCCCCACCCCTCTCACCCCCGCACGATCAGCTGTGCTCTTCTTCCTGTTCCAAGCGAGCTTCCTATTGGACCCGGGCGTCTCGCCGGTGCTGCTGCAGCTCCTCACCAGCGCGCTATGCGGAGGAGGAGGCGGAGGAGGAGGAGGAGGAGGCGGAGGAGGAGGAGGAGGATCTGGGAGCGTGGGTGGTCGCTCCGCTCCACCACCTCCACCACCACCACCGCCACCTCCTCCTCCCCCTACCGTTCAGCAGCAGCAGCAGCAGCAGCAAGGCGGAGCGGCGGGTGCCCGAGGTCCCGGAGCACGGAGGGAGCGTAGGGAGGAGAAAGATGGTGAGGAAATGGGGTGTGTGTGCATGTGTGTGTGTGTGTGTGTGCGCGTGTGTGCGCGTGTGTGTGTGCGTGTGTCTACACACACACACACACGCGTGTGTGTGTGTTTGTCTCTCTGCCTCCTGCGTTCAGCCCAGCCCGGCTGTGTCTGTCGGTGGTGGTGGTGGTGGGGGGTGTTCATAATGGCCGTCCTACATCAGTTTCATGGACCGTGTGTGCGCGCGTGCGTGTGTGTGTGTGCGCGCGTGTGTGTGTGTGTGTGCGCGCGTCCGTGTGCGTGTGTGTGTGTGTGCGTGTGTGTGCGTGCATTCCTCACCACCCAATTCATTCGTACGGAGCGTCTGATTTTCGTTGATTTTATTTTGCCAATGATTGCCTCCCCTACCTTACCCACTCACGCATCCACCCACCGATCCACTCATCCACCCACCCACCCCAACCACTCACTCATCCACCCATCCACCCCACCCACTCGCTCACCCACCAATCCACCCACCCACTCGCTCATCCACCCATCTACTCACCCACTCATCCACTCACGCATCCACCCACTCATCCACCCACCGATTCACTCATCCACCCACCCACCCCACCTACTCACTCATCCACCCACCCACTCGCTCATCTACCCACCGATCCACCTACCCACCCACTCAATCATCCACCCACTCGCCCACATATTTGCTCATCCACCAACCCACTAACTCATCCACCTACCCACCCAATCACTCATCTACCCACTTGCTCACCCACACATTCGCTCATCCACCCACTCATCCATCCACACACTCATACACCCACCGATGCACTCACTCACCCACCCACCTACTCACCCACACATTCACTCACCCACACATTCACTCACCCATCCACCCACTCATCCACTCACCCACTCACTCATCCACCCACCCATTCACCCACCCACCCACTCACTCACTCATCCATCCATCCACTCACTCATCCATCCACCGATTCACCCACCCACTCATTCATCCACCCACCGATTCACCCACCCACTCACTCCCTCATCCACCCACCGATTCACCCACTCACTCATCCACCCACCTACTCACCCATCCACTCACTCACCCAACCACCCCACCCACGCCATCATCCCACCCACCAATTAACTGATCCACTCACCCACCCACTCATTTACCCTCCCACCCACCCCATCATCCCACCCCACCCACCCCACCCACCCACCCACCAATTAACTGATCCACTCACCCACCCACTCATTTAACCCTCCTCCCACCCACCAATTCACTGATCCACTCACCCACCCACTCATTTAACCCTCCCCCCACCCACCAATTCACTGATCCACTCACCCACCCACTCATTTAACCCTCCCACCCACCCCATCATCCCACCCCACCCACCCCACCAATTCACTCATCCACTCACCCACCCACTCATTTAACTCTACCCCCACCCACCAATTCACTGATCCACTCACCCACCCACTCATTTAACCCTCCCACCCACCCCATCATCCCACCCCACCCACCCCATCATCCCACCCCATCCACCCCACCAATTCACTCATCCACTCACCCACCCACTCATTTAACCCTCCCACCCCATCATCCCACCCCACCCACCCCACCAATTCACTCATCCACTCACCCACCCACTCATTTAACCCTCCCACCCACCCCATCATCCCACCCCACCCACCCCACCAATTCACTGATCCACTCACCCACCCACTCATTTAACCCTACCCCCACCCACCAATTCACTGATCCACTCACCCACCCACTCATTTAACCCTCCCCCCACCCACCAATTCACTGATCCACTCACCCACCCACTCATTTAACCCTCCCACCCACCCCACCAATTCACTCATCCACTCACCCACCCACTCATTTAACCCTACCCCCACCCACCAATTCACTGATCCACTCACCCACCCACTCATTTAACCCTCCCCCCACCCACCAATTCACTGATCCACTCACCCACCCACTCATTTAACCCTCCCACCCACCCCATCATCCCACCCCACCCACCCCACCAATTCACTGATCCACTCACCCACCCACTCATTTAACTCTACCCCCCACCCACCAATTCACTGATCCACTCACCCACCCACTCATTTAACCCTCCCACCCACCCCATCATCCCACCCCACCCACCCCACCAATTCACTCATCCACTCACCCACCCACTCATTTAACCCTCCCCCCACCCACCCCACCCACCAAATTCACTGATCCACCCACCCACTCATTTAACCCTCCCCCCACCCACCCAACCACCCCACCACCCACCCCCCCCACCCACCCCCCCCACCCACCACCCCCCCCAACCACCCCCCCCCCCCACCCACCCCCCCCACCACCACCACCACCACCACCCCCCCCCCCCCCTCCCAGAGCTTGCGTTCAGTCTCCTCTCCCCGCTGGGTGCGTGTGTCTGTGCCGCGGCACGTGCCTGCGTGCGCGCCTGCTCCGGCGCCTCTGCTCCCGCAGATCCCGTCGACGCCACCGCAGCGTTGGCCGCAGGGTCGCCGCCGTCGTCGGCGGCCGCCTCCTCCCCGTCGCCCGGCGGAGGCGGCGGAGGCGGCGGAGGCGGCGGAGGCGGCGGAGGCGGCGGAGGCGGCGGAGGCGGCGGAGGCGGCGGAGGCGGCGGAGGCGGCGGAGGCGGCGGAGGCGGCGGAGGCGGCGGGGCCGCGCCGCCGGCGCCGGCGCCGCCGCTGCCGCCGCCGCCGGGCGAGGAGGAGGGGCGGCTGAGCGCGCTGCTCGCGGCCCAGGTGAACGCTCTGGCCGACCGCGAGACGCTGGGGCGCTTCGTCCGCAGCTTCCTGCTCGAGTCCAACGCCACGGCCGTGCGTTGGCAGGCCCACGCCCTTGTGCTGCACATCTACCGGTGAGTGGGCGGGCGGGCGGGGCGGGCGGGCGCCTGCCTCCGTCTCCCCGTGTGTCTCTCTCTCTCTCGGAGTCTCTCTCCTGCCCCCCCCCCCTCCCCCCACACACAATAACACCAAAGACGAAGATCCCCCCGGGTGTTGCTAGTAAAGGTTCCCCCCGCGGATTAGATCGCCGTTAATTTGTGAATGCGTCCGTAACCCTGCCCGCAACCCGGCACGGCCGATCGGCAAAATTTTTTTTTTAAAAAGCGTCACGTCGACGAAAGAACAGAAATAGTTCGCTGCCGAAGAGTGAATCCACGACATTTTACAGCTTGAGCAGCACGACGTTTTCGCTGACCAATTACGTTCCAGCATCGTCGGGCATACTCGCCGCCATTCTCAATGACATTGGTGTCGCGAAAGGCCTACGTGTGAAAACCGAAGAATCAACCCCCGTGTAGCCTGCGACAGACTGTTGGGCAAAGTGTCGCTGGCGATTCATCTTCTTGGGGTTCTCTCGGTAAAGTCACCACCGCGTGGAATGAGAGTGAAATAAATAACACGATAAAATCCTCGCGACGTTTCGGCCACAACGCAAGCGGGCCTTCGTCAAGTGGAAGGGACGAGACTGTCTGGAGGGACAGCGCTGGAGCGAACAAAGCCAAGCTCGGACCGCGACCTTTAAGCTGCGTGAGAAGAAACGGAGCGCCTTGACAAAGGAATTAGCACAGAATTTAGCATTGAAATAGCTGAGTGATTAGCTTGTGACTGGTTCACAGAAATAGCTACGTTAAAGTCAAAGCCTGCACATCCACAGAGGCACCTGGTACAAATCAAACAGGAGAATTTAGCATTGAAATAGCTGAGTGATTAGCTTGTGACTGGTCACAGAAATGGCTACGTTAAAGTCAAAGCCTGCACATCCACAGAGGCACCTAGTACAAATCAAACAGGAGAATTTAGCATTGAAATGGCTGAGTGATTAGCTTGTGACTGGTCACAGAAATGGCTACGTTAAAGTCAAAGCCTACACATCCACAGAGGCACCTGGTACAAATCAAACAGGAGAATTTAGCATTGAAATAGCTGAGTGATTAGCTTGTGACTGGTCACAGAAATGGCTACGTTAAAGTCAAAGCCTGCACATCCACAGAGGCACCTAGTACAAATCAAACAGGAGAATTTAGCATTGAAATGGCTGAGTGATTAGCTTGTGACTGGTCACAGAAATGGCTACGTTAAAGTCAAAGCCTACACATCCACAGAGGCACCTGGTACAAATCAAACAGGAGAATTTAGCATTGAAATAGCTGAGTGATTAGCTTGTGACTGGTCACAGAAATGGCTACGTTAAAGTCAAAGCCTGCACATCCACAGAGGCACCTAGTACAAATCAAACAGGAGAATTTAGCATTGAAATGGCTGAGTGATTAGCTTGTGACTGGTCACAGAAATGGCTACGTTAAAGTCAAAGCCTGCACATCCACAGAGGCACCTAGTACAAATCAAACAGGAGAATTTAGCATTGAAATAGCTGAGTGATTAGCTTGTGACTGGTCACAGAAATAGCTACGTTAAAGTCAAAGCCTGCACATCCACAGAGGCACCTGGTACAAATCAAACAGGAGAATTTAGCATTGAAATAACTGAGGGATTAGCTTGTGACTGGTCACAGAAATAGCTACGTTAAAGTCAAAGCCTGCACATCCACAGAGGCACCTAGTACAAATCAAACAGGAGAATTTAGCATTGAAATAGCTGAGTGATTAGCTTGTGACTGGTCACAGAAATGGCTACGTTAAAGTCAAAGCCTGCACATCCACAGAGGCACCTGGTACAAATCAAACAGGAGAATTTAGCATTGAAATAACTGAGGGATTAGCTTGTGACTGGTCACAGAAATAGCTACGTTAAAGTCAAAGCCTGCACATCCACAGAGGCACCTGGTACAAATCAAACGGGAGAATTTAGCATTGAAATGGCTGAGTGATTAGCTTGTGACTGGTCACAGAAATGGCTACGTTAAAGTCAAAGCCTACACACCCACAGAGGCACCTACTACAAATCAAACAGGAGAATTTAGCATTGAAATAGCTGAGTGATTAGCTTGTGACTGGTCACAGAAATAGCTACGTTTAAGTCAAAGCCTGCACATCCACAGAGGCACCTAGTACAAATCAAACAGGAGAATTTAGCATTGAAATAGCTGAGTGATTAGCTTGTGACTGGTCACAGAAATGGCTTTGTTAAAGTCAAAGCATACACATCCACAGAGGCACCCCTTGACAAAGGAATTAGCATTGTCACAAGCTAATCAATGCTAAATTCTATGCTAATTCCTTTGTCAAGGGGTGCCTCTGTGGATGTGTATGCTTTGACTTTAACATAGCCATTTCTCTGACTAGTCACAAGCTAATCACTCAGCTATTTCAATGCTAAATTCTTCTGTTTGATTTGTACCAGGTGCCTCAGTGTATGTGTAGGCTTTGATTTTAACATAGCCATTTCTGTGACCAGTCACAAGCTAATCACTCAGCTATTTCAATGCTAAATTCTATGCCAATTCCTTTGTCAAGGCGCTCCGTTTCTTCTCACACAGCTTAAAGGTCGCGGTCTGAGCTTGGCTGTGTTCGCTCCAGCGCTGTCCCTCCAGACAGTCTCATCCCTTCACCTGATGAAGGCCCGCTTGTGTTGTGGCCGAAACGTCGTGAGGATTTTATTGTGTTATTTATTTTATTCTCATTCTACGTGGTGGTGACTTTACCGAAAGAACCAAAGAAGATGAATGCTTGCAGTCACGAAAGCTTTAAATCGAAATTTGTCGCTAGCGCGTTAGAGCAGCGGCGGCAGCGGCCGCGAAGGCTACCGGCAATGTGGCACGCACAGAGAGAGGGGGTGGGTGGCCAGCCGCAGGGCTTGAACGGTTTGGGTAAAATATCTCATTCCGATTTTTCTGACGGTGCGATTTGATTTGCGATTTACACTTTTTTTTTTAAAGCTATGCTTCGGTTCAATATGGGAGCATTAACCGCACGACACCATCAAACGTATCACGTGCTCTCTGTATATTGTAATGCAAGGATGAGAACTTAAAAGATTATGCATGCATCGCTTCCAACGTGTATTTGTTAAAATGTTGTCATTGAAACAGCACAATCCAACATAGAGCAGTTGTTAAGTTAAATGAATAAAGTTTCAAATTGCGGTTAATCGATTTGAAGTCGATTAATCCTTCGGCCCTAGTGGCCAGCACCACGCCCGGCCGCCTTTGTCTCTCCCCCAGCGCTAGCGATGTTCACTACACCACCACCGCTACACCACCACACCACCACCACTACACCACACCACCACCACTACACCACCACCACACCACCGCCATACCACCACCGCTACACCAACACCACCAATGCTACACCCTCACCGCTACACCACTACCGCTACATCACCACCACCGCTACAAAACCACCACCGCTACACCACCACCACCGCTACAAAACCACCACGGCTACACCACGGCTACACCACCACCACCGCTACACCACGGCGACACCACCACCACCGCTACACCACCGCTACACCCACCACCACTAGAGACCAGGTCACTCATTTGACGGCTGAGGCCCAGGAACCGGTCCAGATAATTATCCCCGGGGTTCGCAGCGTAGCGGCGCAAGCGCTAACCGTTGTCCCACCGCTCACCTCTCCCCCCACCCCCCCACTTCTCCCCCCCACTTCTCCCCCCCACCTCTCCGCAGCAACTCGACGCGCTCCCAGCAGGAGTCTCTCCTGGACCTCATGTGGTCCCTGTGGCCCCAGCTGCCCTCCTACGGCCGCAAGGGGGCCCAGTTCGTCGACCTGCTGGGCTACTTCTCGCTGCGCGCACCCCGCGCCTCGGAGGCCCGCCTGCGGGCCTACACCCGCCTGGCCGTGGGGGTCCTGCGGGCCCAAAACGTGGCCCTCGCTCGGCACCCCACGTCGAGCATTTACACGGCGCTGGCCGCCCTGGTCGACTTCCACGGCCACTACCTCGAGAGTGAGCCGTGCCTCGTGTGCAACAACCCCGAGGTGCCGTTTGCGGTGAGTTTGGGCGGTGGGCGGGGCGGTGGGGGGGGTGGGTGGGTGGGTGGGGTGCTGCCGGCGAATCGCGTCGCTTGGACACCCGGTAAGTCGCTCGTTCGGTCGGACACCGAGCGACGACTCGCTCGGTCGGACACCGAGCGAGTCGTCTCTCAGTGTCTGACTGTGAGAGTCGCTCGGTCGGACACCCAGCGAGTCGCTCGGTCGGACACCGAGCGAGTCGCTCGGTCGGACACCCAGCGACTCGCTCGGTCGGACACCCAGCGAGTCGCTCGGTCGGACACCCAGCGAGTCGCTCGGTCGGACACCCAGCGACTCGCTCGGTCGGACACCCAGCGACTCTCTCAGTGTCTGACTGAGAGAGTCGCTCGGTCGGACACCGAGTGATTCTCTCGGTCGGACACCCAGCGACTCGCTCGGTCGGGCGGTGGTGGTGGTGGTGGTGATAACCACTCAGCCGCTCTCTCCCACCCAGCCACTCTCCCCGGGGTCTGTGTCCACCACTGCACTCACTCCCTTCCTCCCCTTCCTCCTTCCCGGTGGTGGCGTCTGTACGTCTGTGCGTCTGTGTGGCTGTGTGTCTGTACGTCTGTGTGTCTGTGCGTCTGTGTGTCTGTGTGTGTGTCTGTGCGTCTGTGTGGCTGTGTGTCTGTACGTCTGTGTGTCTGTGCGTCTGTGTGTCTGTGCGTCTGTTTGTCTGTGTGTGTGTCTGTACGGCTGTGTGGCTGTGCGTCTGTATGTCTGTGTGTCTGTGTGTCTGTGTGGCTGTGTGTCTGTACGTCTGTGTGTCTGTGTGGCTGTGCGTCTGTGTGTCTGTATGTCTGTGTGTGTGTCTGTGTGTCTGTGTGTCTGTACGGCTGTGTGTGTGTTTGTATGTCTGTGCGGCTGTGTGTCTGTGTGTGTGTCTGTACGGCTGTGTGGCTGTGCGTCTGTGTGTCTGTGTGTGTGTCTGTACGGCTGTGTGGCTGTGCGTCTGTGTGTCTGTGTGTGTGTCTGTGTGTCTGTGTGTCTGTGCGTCTGTGTGTCTGTGTGTCTGTGTGTCTGTACGTCTGTGTGTCTGTGTGTCTGTGCGTCTGTGCGTCTGTGTGTCTGTGTGTCTGTGTGTCTGTATGGCTGTGTGTCTGTGCGTCTGTACGTCTTGTGTGTCTGTACGTCTTGTGTGTCTGTGTGTTTGTACGTCTCGTGTGTCTGTACGTCTTGTGTGTCTGTGTGTGTGTCTGTGTATCTGTGTGTCTGTGTGTCTGTGTGTCTGTGCGTCTGTGTGTCTGTGCGTCTGTACGTCTCGTGTGTCTGTACGTCTGCGTGTGTGTCTGTGCGTTTGTGTGTGTGTACGTCTGTGCGTCTGTGTGTCTGTGTGTCTGTGCGTCTGCGTGTCTGTGCGGCTGTGTGTCTGTGTGTCTGTGTGGCTGTGCGTCTGTGCGTCTGTGTGTCTGTGTGGCTGTGTGTCTGTGCGTCTGTACGTCTTGTGTGTCTGTACGTCTTGTGTGTCTGTGCGTCTGTGTATCTGTGTGTCTGTGTGTCTGTGTGTCTGTGCGTCTGTGTGTCTGTGCGTCTGTACGTCTCGTGTGTCTGTACGTCTGCGTGTGTGTCTGTGCGTTTGTGTGTGTGTACGTCTGTACGTCTGTACGTCTGTGTGTCTGTGCGTCTGTGTGTCTGTGCGTCTGCGTGTCTGTGCGTCTGTGTGGCTGTGTGTCTGTGTGTCTGTACGGCTGTGTGTCTGTGCGTCTGTGTGTGTGTCTGTGCGTCTGTGTGTGTGTCTGTGCGTCTGTGTGTGTGTCTGTACGTCTGTGTGTGTACGCCTGTGCGCCTGTGCGCCTGTGCGTCTTGTGGTGGGCCCGCGCGTCTGCGTCGCGTGCAGAACATCAAGCTGTCGTCCATCAAGGTGGACACGCGCTACACCACGACGCAGCAGATCGTGAAGCTGGTGGGCAGCCACACCATCAGCAGGGTCACCATCAAGGTGGGCGACCTCAAGCGCTCCAAGATGGTGCGCGTTGTCAACCTCTACTACAACAACCACACCGTGCAGGCCATCGTCGAGCTCAAGAACAAGTAGGTGGGGGGGGGGGTGGGTGGAGGAGGTGGTGGAGGAGGGGGTGGTGGTGGTGGTGGTGGAGGAGGTGGAAGGGAGGGAGATGGAGGTGGGGGGGGGGAGAGGTGAACGAGATAGAGGAGGAGACGTCCCACGATGAGCTTTGTCGCGCGCTCGTTCACTCGCTCGTTCACTCACTCACTCATTCACTCACTCGTTCACTCGCTCGTTCACTCACTCGTTCACTCGCTCGTTCACTCGCTCGTTCACTCGCTCGTTCACTCGCTCGTTCACTCATTCACTCACTCACTCATTCACTCACTCATTCATTCACTCACTCATTTACTCATTCACTCACTCGCTCATTCACTCGCCTATTCACTCACTCGCTCATTCACTCACTCACTCATTTACTCATTCACTCACTCATTCACTCACTCGCTCACTCGCTCATTCACTCACTCATTCACTCACTCATTCACTCACTCACTCATTCACTCATTTACTCATTCACTCATTTACTCATTCACTGACCCACCCCACCCCATTCCCACCCCATCCCACCCCACCTCACCCACTCCACCTCACCCCACCCACCCCCACCTCCCACCAGGCCTGCGTGCTGGCACAAGGCAAAGAAGCTGACGCTGACTGCCGGCCAGACGGAGGTGAAGCTGGACCTGCCGCTGCCCATCGTCGCCTCCAACCTGATGGTGGAGTTCTCCGAGTTCTATGAGAACCACCAGGCCTCGGCAGAGACCCTGCAGTGTCCCCGCTGCAGCGCCTCCGTGCCAGCCAACCCCGGCGTCTGTGGCAACTGCGGCGAAAACGTCTTCCAGTGTCACAAGTGCAGGTGGGGCGGGTGGTGGTGGGGGTGGTGGTGGAGGGGGTGGTGGTGATGGTGGTGGTAGTGGTGGGGGTGGTGGTGGTGCAGGGGGTGGTGGTGGTGGGGGTGGTGGTGATGGTGGTGGTGGTGGTGGTGGTGCTGGTGGTGGTGCTGGTGGTGGTGGTGGTGGGGGTGGTGGTGGTGGTGGTGGTGGGGGTGGTGGTGGTGGTGGGGGTGGTGGTGGTGGTGGGGGTGGTGGTGGTGGTGGGGGTGGTGGTGGTGGTGGTGGTGGTGGGGCGGGTGGTGGTGGGGGTGGTGGTGGTGGTGGTGGTGGTGGGGGTGGTGGTGGGAGTGGTGGTGGCGGTGGAGGTGGTGGTGGTGGCGGTGGTGGTGGTGGAGGAGGTGGTGGTGGTGGTGGAGGTGGTGGTGGTGGTTGAGGAGGTGGTGGCGGTGGTGGAGGAGGTGGCGGTGGTGGTGGTGGTCGAGGAGGAGGAGGAGGAGGAGGTGTAGGAGGTGCTCACACTGCACTCTCCCTGCTCCCAATTGTGACTCCCTCCCCCAGGTCCATCAACTACGATGAGAAGGACCCCTTCCTGTGCAATGCCTGCGGCTTCTGCAAGTACGGCAAGTTCGACTTCACGCTGTACGCACGGCCCTGCTGTGCCGTGGATCCCATCGAGAATGAGGACGATCGCAAGAAGGTACAGCGCACACGCACACATACATACACACACACACATACACTCGCCATACACACATACACTCACCATACACACATTCACCATACACACACATACACTCACCATACACACACATACACATACACTCACCATACACACACATACACTCACCATACACATACATACACATACACTCACCATACACACATACACACACATACACATACGCTCGACATACACACATACACGCACACACATACACTCGCCATACACACACATACACATACACTCACCATACACACACATACACACACATACACTCACCATACACACACATACACACACATACACTCACCATACATATACACACACTCACCATACACACACACATACACTCACCATACACACACATACACTCACCATGCACACACATACACTCACCATACACACATACACTCACCATACACACGCACACACATACACTCGCCATACACACATACACTCGCCATACACACATACACTCGCCATACACACATACACTCACCATACACACACATACACTCGCCATACACATACATACACATACACTCACCATACACACATACACACACACACATACACTCGCCATACACACACATACACATACACTCGCCATACACACACATACACATACACTCACCATACACACATACACATACACTCACCATACACACATACACACACACACATACACTCGCCATACACACATACACTCGCCATACACACATACACTCACAATACACATACATACACTCACCATACACACATACACACACACACATACACTCGCCATACACACATACACTCACCATACACATACACACACATACACTCGCCATACACACATACACTCACCATACACATACACACACATACACTCGCCATACACACATACACTCACCATACACATACACACACATACACTCGCCATACACACATACACTCACCATACACACATACACTCACCATACACATACACTCATCATACACACATTCACCATACACACACATACACTCACCATACACACATACACTCACCATACACATACACTCACCATACACACACACATACACTCGCCATACATATACACACACTCACCATACACACACACATACACTCGCCATACACACACACACACACTCACCATACACACACATACACTCACCATGCACACATACACTCACCATACACACATACACTCACCATACACACATACACTCACCATACACACGCACACACATACACTCGCCATACACACATACACTCGCCATACACACGCACACACATACACTCACCATACACATACACTCACCATACACTCACCATACACATACACTCACCATACACTCACCATACACATACACTCACCATACACATACACTCACCATACACATACACTCACCATACACACATACACTCACCATACACACATACACTCACCATATACATACACTCACCATACACATACACACACTCACCATACACACGCACACACACATACACTCGCCATACACACGCACGCACACACATACACTCACCATGCACACACATACACTCACCATACATATACACACACACATACATACGCACGCACACACATACACTCACCATACGCACGCACACACATACACTCACCATACACACACATACACTCACCATACACACGCACACACACATACACTCACCATACACACACATGCACTCACCATACATATACACACACATACACTCACCATACACACGCACACGCACATACACTCACCATACACACGCACACGCACACACATACACACACATACACTCAACATACACACGCATACACATACACTCACCATACACACGCATACACATACACTCACCATACGCATACACATACACTCACCATACGCACGCACACGCACACACATACACACACATACACTCACCATACACATACACAACACTCACCATATGCACGCACGCACACACATACACTCACCATACACACGCACACGCACACACATACACTCACCATACACACACATACACTCACCATACACACGGACACACATACACTCACCATACACACGCACACTCACACACACACTCACATTCACACATTCACACACACACATTCACACATTCACCACTCATTCACACACACACACTCACATTCACACATTCACCACTCATTCACACACACACTCACACAACAACCGCCATTCGCCACTAAGTGGCGGTGACGTCACCACGACGCTTGTGCCAGGCTATGTGCACCCTGAGGCCACGTGAAATGTCGAACGCCCGCTGGCAGGAGGTCACGGGGCAGACCCAGCAGGTGCCACGGGTCGACTGACTGAGATGACTGGCTGATGCACCACCTGTGCCCCCTACTGTGCCAACCTGCTGTGCTTTAGCCACCCGGTGCTCCGCTCGTTGTTGTGAGCATCGCTCCTCCGCCCTCTGTTGTTGTTGGAGGGCGACTGCCTCCAACTGCCCAGTAGCGTCCTTCACGAGCCTCCTCCACAGAGGCCGATCTTGACACCGCTGGTACCGGTCATCGGCCAGTCCACTCAGCTCCACGTCTTCCTGTACCACATCACTCCATCACACACCCATTCACACACACACACATTCACACATTCACCACTCATTCGCACACCCACCCCATAGAGAACATCACTAGCACTGGGGGAGACAAAGGCGGCCGGGCGTGGCGGTGCTGGACCACCCACCCCCTCGTGTGCCACAGTGCCGGTAGCCTTCATAGGCGCTGCTACTCGCTACTAACAGCGCTTGCCCCAACATTCTGTGAAAGCTACACGGGGGATTTTGTCTGTGTGTGTGTCTCTCTGTGTGTGTCTGTGTGTGTTTGTGTCTCTGTGTGTGTGTCTCTGTGTGTGTGTCTGTGTGTGTGTCTTTGTGTGTGTGTGTCTGTGTGTGTCTTTGTGTTTGTGTCTCTGTGTGTGTCTTTGTGTTTGTCTCTGTGTGTGTCTCTGTGTGTGTCTTTGTGTTTGTGTCTCTGTGTGTGTCTTTGTGTTTGTCTCTGTGTGTCTTTGTGTTTGTGTCTGTGTGTGTGTCTCTATGTCTGTGTGTGTGTGTGTCTCTGTGTGTGTGTCTCTGTGTGTGTGTCTGTCTGTGTGTGTCTGTGTGTGTGCCTCTGTGTCTGTGTGTGTGCGTATCACTGTGTGTGTGCGTATCACTGTGTGTGTATGTATCACTGTGTGTGTATCATTGTGTGTGTATCAGTGTGTGTATATCACTGTGTGTGTATCACTGTGTGTGTATCACTGTGTGTGTATCTCTGTGTGCGTATCATTGTGTGCGTATCACTGTGTGTGTCTCTGTGTGTGTATCACTGTGTGTGTATCATTCTGTGTGTATCACTGTGTGTGTATCTCTGTGTGCGTATCTCTGTGTGCGTATCACTGTGTGTGTGTGTGTATCACTGTGTGTGTGTGTGTGTATCACTGTGTGTGTATCTCTGTGTGTATCACTGTGTGTGTATCTCTGTGTGTGTATCACTGTGTGTGTATCTCTGTGTGTGTATCACTGTGTGTGTATCACTGTGTGTGTATCTCTGTGTGTATCACTGTGTGTGTATCTCTGTGTGTATCTCTGTGTGTGTGTCTCTGTGTGTGTATCTCTGTGTGTGTCTAACAGGCGGTGACGAACATCAACAGCCTGCTGGAGAAGGCCGACCGCGTCTACCACCAGCTGATGGCGCACCGGCCACAGCTGGAGGAGCTGTTGGTGCGCATCAGTGAGGCAGCTGCTGACAACCCCACGGTGAGGTGGGGGTGGTGGTGGGGAGGTGGTGGGGGGGTGGTGGGGGGGTGGTGGTGGTAGTGGTGTGGGTGGATGGTGGTGCTGATAGTGGTGGGTGGGGATGGTGATGGTGGTAGTGGTGGTGGGTGGGGATGGTGATGGGGGTGGGGATGGTGGTGGTGGTAGTGGTGGCTGGTGATGGTGGTAGTGGTGGCTGAGGATGGTGGTGGTGGTGGTAGTGGTGGGTGGGGATGGTGAGTGTGGTGGTAGTGGTGGGTGGCGATGGTGATGGTGGTAGTGGTGGGTGGGGATGGTGAGTGGTAGTGGTGGTGGGTGGGGATGATGATGGTGGTGGGTGGGGATGATGGTGATGGTGGTGGTGGTGGGTGGGGATGATGGTGATGGTGGTAGTGGTGGGTGGGGATGATGGGGATGGTGGTGGTGTCTGTGGTGGTGTTATTTGAACCGCACGTCCACTCGCTCACCCGCCCACCCACCCCACTGGACGACTCCGTCAGCGGCGGTGGCTCCATCGCCTCCTCCACCTCCATCACCGGCTCCTCCACCTCCTCGTCCGGCGCCGGCAACGCGGCCGCGGCCGCCGCCGCCGCGGCCGCGGCCGCGACCGCCCCCTCCTCGTCCGTCGGCGCCATCTCCTCCTCCTCCTCTTCCTCGTCCGCCGCCGGCGCCAGCGGCGGCGGTGCCGGCGGTTCCTCCGCGGCCACGGCGGCGGCGGCGACGGCGGCCGCGGCCGCCGCGGCGGCGGCCGTGGCGGCCGCGGCCGCCGTGGCGGCTGGGCCGGGAGGCGGGGCCGGAGGCGGGGCCGGAGGCGGGGCTGGAGGCGGGGCCGGAGGCGCCTCCGCCGCCTCATCCTCCTGCGTGAACAAACACATCCAGGCGCTGGCGCACAAATACTGCGGGGAGTGCCGGCTCGCCTTCGAGGGGCTCTCTAAGATTATACAGGTGGGGGGAGGGGGGGGGCGTGGTGTGTGTGTCTGTGTGTGTGTGTGTGTCCCACTTGGCGGAGCCAGGAGATTGAATATCTACCCTCGGGGCTCCTCCAGAAACAACGAAAAGCCACTACGGGTGTCCACGTGGAATGTTCGAACGCTCACCGCGGAGGAGAGGCTGCCACTCCTCTGTCGGGAGCTGGACCGGTACCGCCTGGATCTATGTGGCATTTAGGAGGTCCGGTGGACCGGCTCTGGCTCCTGCCACCATGAGGGGTGGACAGTCCTCTACTTGGGGCAGCAGACTGCCAAACAACAGGGTGTGGCTCTTCTTTTGAACAAAAGAATGAAGGGGGCGTGGGAGCGTGGCGGTGAGGTGTGGGAAGCTGTAAGCCCCAGGCTACTTTGGGCTCGCCTTCTCATCAACCGGAGGCGAGGAGCGGTGGTCGTGGTTACTTATGCCCCCACCGAAGATGAACATCCGTGGAGGGATGCAGGCAAAGCCGATGAGTCAGATGCCTTCTATGACCTCCTGTCACAGGTGCTGGCTAAAGTGCCCCCTCGGGATAGAGTCATCATGTTGGGTGACTTCAATGCCCGAGTTGGTCATGATACTGGCACCTGGTCTGGAGTGATTGGAGGGCATGGGCCAGATCAGCTCAATAACAACGGTAGGAGGCTGCTAGATTTTTGTGCAGCCCATGGGCTTGTAATTACCAACACGCTGTTCCGGCATCAGCGCATCCACACAACATCATGGATGCATGCCGGGTCCAAGCAAGAACATCTGCTGGACTACATAGTGACGGACCAGCGGATGCGAGCCCATGTCCTTGACACCAGGACCTACCGCGGAGCTGATCTGCCCTCTGACCATCAGCTAGTCATCTGTAAGATGCGCCTGCCATTCTTCCACTCCGGTGGTGGGTGTACACCCAGGACCCCATTCCAACCTAAAGTGGCCTGGTCTCAGTTATCTGATGAAAGTTGCAAGTGAGAATTTCATCATCGCTTGCAGCTGGGATTGGCATCGCTCCCGACTCCTCCTGATGTCGAGGGTAAATGGGCGAGGTTTAGGACTGTGACTCATGCAGCTGCAATGGCTGCTTTGGGTACACGGTCCAGACCTCTCCAGAGACCCGGGCTGACAGAGGAGGTGTTCAGGATGGTTGAGAAAAAGCGACAGGCCCACTGTCATCGGCTACAGAATCCCACGTCAGAGAATGAGGAGGCTTACCGCAGCCTTCGCTCGGAGGTTCGGAGAGCCGTGAGGCGCTGCAAGGATGGGTGGTGGTCCCGGGTTGCTGAGGAGATGGAGTCTGCCTCAGTGGCCCGTGATCACAAATCTCTATTTAACTCCATCAAAAAAGTAACCTGCAGCGCCACACCTATTACCATCATTAGGGGAAAAAACGGTGACCCAATCTCCGACCCCCAGGAACAGGTTTGCAGATTTGCTGAGCATTTCTGAGGTCCTAGGGGAGGGAAAATCCCTCAGCCAGGAAAACATCGTGGCACAAAGTGAGGATGACCCTGCTGAGGCTGCGGTGCCTCAAATATTGGAAGAAGTCACCCCCTGTGAGTGGCTGGCTGAGGTGCCATCTGTTGAGGAAGTACTGAAGGCGATCCGGAGTCTGAGACCAGGAAAGGCAGCGGGCAGAGATGATCTCCTAAGCGAAATGCTGAGGGAGGGCGGCGTTTGTGCACAGACTGCCCTATATGACATCATAACAACAGTCTGGACCACTGGACGGGTTCCGCAGGATTGGAAGGATGCCCTGGTGGTCCCCTTTTTTAAGAAGGGGGACCGCACAGACTATAACAACTACAGGGGCATCTCACTTCTCAGTGTGCCGGGAAAGGTCCTGGCAAGGATTATTCAACATCGCCTTGCCAGGCACGCTGAGGAGTGGCTTGCGGAGCCCCAATGCGGTTTCAGGAAAGGGCGGTCCTGCACAGATGCCATATTTTCTGTCCGTCTGCTACAGCACAGGTGTAGGGAATTCCAACAAGACCTACATCTCTGCTTTATTGACCTGGTCAAGGCCTATGATACCATCAGTAGGCCTGGGCTCTGGGTTGTTCTTCGTACTTTTGGAGTACCTGACCCTCTGCTCACGATCATTAAGGACCTTCATGATGGTGAGCGGGCCTGGGTAAAACTACGTGGCCGGGAGTCAGAGCCATTCCCTGTTAACCTTGGGGTGCGACAGGGATGTCCTCTGGCTCCCACATTATTTAACATCTATTTTGACCACGTAGTTCGTGAAGCCTTCAATAGCTGTACCGGGGGAATCTCCATATGGTACAGATATAATGGGAGGCTGATCGACGCCCGGGTGCGGTCAAAGGATGGCTCCCTATTGCTCAACCACGTTATGTATGCTGATGATTTGGTAATAGCTGCTCATTCAGAGGAGGAGTTGGAGACGCTGCTGCTGAGACTGGAGCGTGCCACTAAGAGGTGGGGCCTTACCATCAGCCCCACCAAAACTAAGCACCTGCCTGGGTATTTTGTACCATCGGACACTCCACCCCCACAACTCCCAATCGGTGATGGGGCAGTTGTGGAGAGAGTGGAGAGTTTCCCATACCTGGGCAGTGTGCTTATGACCGGCTCCAGTTTAACAGCAGAGGTCTCACTCCGAATCAGTCGAGCGGCAATATCTTTTCATCGGTTGCGTAACGCTGTGTGGAAGCTACCTGGTCTGTCGCTCCGCACTAAGCTTCAGGTCTTCTCGGCCACGGTCATTCCCTCCCTTCTCTATGCTTGCGAAACGTGGACCCCCCTAATGGAACATCTTCGCCAGTTAGAAACATTTAGGCTGGCCTGCCTACGATCCATCCTGGGTTTAACCAGACTGGATTGTGTGAGGAGCTCACAAATCCTTGAAAGATCTGAGCAAGGTCCCATCGGTGAGCTCCTCCGGCGGGCAAGGCTGCGATGGCTGGGTCATGTAGCCCGCATGCCCAGCCAACGCATGCCGAAACAGCTTTTGTTCGGCCGGATTGAGGGGGCAAAGCGGGCGCGGCACGGGCTAGAGAAGAGATGGAGTGATGTGGTACAGGAGGACCTGGAGCTGAGTGGACTTGCCGATTACTGGTACCAGCGGTGTCAAGATCGGCCTCTGTGGAGGAGGCTCGTGAAGGACGCTACTGGGCAGTTGGAGGCAGTCGCCCTCCAACAACAACGGAGGGCGGAGGAGCGACGCTCGGAACAACGGGCGGAGCGCCGGGTGGCTAAAGCACAGCAGGTTGGCACAGTAGGGGGCACAGGTGGTGCATCAGCCACTCATCTCAGTCAGTCGACCCGTGGCACCTGGGTCTGCCCCGTGGCCTCCTGCCAGCGGGCGTTCGACACTCCACGTGGCCTCAGGGTGCACATAGCCTGGCACAAGCGTCGTGGTGACGTCACCGCCACTTAGTGGCGAATGGCGGTTGTTGTTGTGAGTGTGTGTGTGTCTGTGTGTGTCTGTGTCTGTGTGTGTGTCTGTGTGTGTGTCTGTTTGTGTGTGTCTGTGTGCGTGTCTGTGTATTATCTGTGCGTGTGTGTCTGTGTGTATGTGTGTGTGTGTCTGTGTGTGTGTGTGTGTGTGTCTGTGTGTGTATCTGTGTAGTGTCTGTGTGTATCTGTGTGTGTGTATCTGTGTAGTGTCTGTGTGTGTGTGTGTCTGTGTGTCTGTGTGTGTGTGTCTGCATGTGTGTGTATCTGTGTGTGTGTATCTGTGTAGTGTGTGCGTGTGTGTGTGTCTGTGTGTGTATCTGTGTGTGTGTGTCTGTGTGTCTGTGTGCGTGTCTGCGCGTGTTCACCTCTTCACCTCTCTCCCCCCGCCCCCCCCACAGAAGGTGCTGGCATCGCGCAAGCAGCTTGTGGAGTACGACCTGCAGCAGCGGGAGGCCGCCTCTCGCTCCTCCCGCGCTCCCTCCGCGCCCCCCACGCCCACCGCCTTGCCGCCCTCCACGGAACACCCCCTGCCGCCGGCGACGCCGACGCCGGCGTCGCCGACCGCGGCGGCGGCGGCGGCCGTGCCGGTGGCGCCGGCGCCGGCGGTGGCGGTGCAGCAGCGAGTGAGGCGCTGCTACGGATGCGCCTCTGCCGTCACGGAGCACTGCGTGACCCTGCTGCAGGTGAGTGGTGGTGGTGGTGAGTGTGGTGGTGGTGGTGAGTGTGGTGGTGGTAGTGAGTGTGGTGGTGAGTGTGGTGGTGGTGAGTGTGGTGGTTGTGGTGAGTGTGGTGGTTGTGGTGAGTGCAGTGGTGGTGGTGGTGGTGCTGGTGAGTGTGGTGGTTGTGGTGAGTGCAGTGGTGGTGGTGGTGGTGCTGGTGAGTGTGGTGGTGGTGGGTGTGGTGGTGGTGGTGGGTGTGGTGGTGGTGGGTGTGGTGGTGCTGGTGAGTGGTGCTGGTGAGTGGTGGTGGTGAGTGTGATGGTTGTGGTGGTGGTGGTGGTGGTGAGTGCAGTGGTGGTGGTGGTGCTGGTGAGTGTGGTAGTGGTGGTGGTGGCGGCGGTGATCACGATTTTTCGAAGCGACGATGCCAGCAGCTGTCACTAATCTCCGTTGGCGCCACCGTCCTGACCCTCCCCCCACCCTCCCCCCACCCTCCCCCCACCCTCCCCCCACCGTCACCCCCCACCCTGCAGGCGCTGGCGACCAACGCGACGATCCGAGCGATGTTGGTGTCCCAGGGACTCATCGGGGAGCTCTTCGGCTACAACATTCGACGTGGCACAGCCGCCATGCGACGTAACGCACGCAGCCTGCTGTGCCTCCTCACCCGGTGAGCAGGCCTGCTGGTGGTGGTGGTGGTGAGCGTGGTGGTGAGCGTGGTGGTGGTGGTGGTGAGCGTGGTGGTGAGAGTGGTGGTGGTGAGCGTGGTGGTGAGAGTGGTGGTGGTGAGCGTGGTGGTGAGAGTGGTGGTGAGCGTGGTGGCGGTGGTGGTGGTGAGCGTGGTGGTGGTGGTGAGCGTGATGGTGGTGGTGGTGAGCGTGGTGGTGGTGGTGAGCGTGGTGGTGGTGATGGTGATGACGGTGATGTGCGTGGTGATGTGCGTGGTGATGTGGGTGGTGTTGTGAGTAATGATGATGGTAGTGGTGATGTTGATGATGGTAGTGGTGATGTTGATGATGGTAGTGGTGATGTTGATGATGGTAGTGGTGATGTTGATGTTGGTGGTGGTGATGTTGATGATGGTAGTGGTGATGTTGATGTTGGTGGTGGTGATGACGATGATGGTGGTGGTGATGTTGATGTTGGTGGTGGTGATGTTGATGATGGTAGTGGTGATGATGGTAGTGGTGATGATGATGGTAGTGGTGATGATGATGGTAGTGGTGATGTTGATGATGGTAGTGGTGATGTTGATGTTGGTGGTGGTGATGTTGATGATGGTAGTGGTGATATTGATGATGGTAGTGGTGATGTTGATGATGGTAGTGGTGATGTTGATGATGGTAGTGGTGATGTTGATGTTGGTGGTGGTGATGTTGATGATGGTAGTGGTGATGTTGATGATGTTGGTGGTGATGTGGGTGATGATGTGGGTGGTGGTGTGGGTGGTGGTGTGGGTGGTGATGTGGGTGGTGATGTGGGTGGTGATGTGGGTGGTGATGTGGGTGGTGATGTGGGTGGTGATGTGGGTGGTGATGTGGGTGGTGATGTGGGTGGTGATGTGGGTGGTGGTGGTGATGACGGTGATGTGAGTGGTGATGTGGATGGTGGTGGTGATGGTGATGTGGGTGGTGGTGTGGGTGGTGAGTGTGGTGGTGGTGAGCGTGGTCGTGGTGAGCGTGGTGGTGATGTGGGTGGTGATGTGGGTGGTGATTTGGGTGGAGTTGTGGGTGGTGATGTGGGTGGTGATGTGGGTGGTGATGTGGGTGGTGATGTGGGTGGTGATGTGGGTGGTGGAGTGGGTGGTGATGTGGGTGGTGGTGTGGGTGGTGGTGTGGGTGGTGGTGTGGGTGGTGGTGTGGGTGGTTGTGTGGTGGTGTGGGTGGTGGTGTGGGTGGTGGTGTGGGTGGTGATGTGCGTGGTGGTGTGGGTGGTGGTGTGGGTGGTGGTGTGGGTGGTGATGTGGGTGGTGATGTGGGGGGTGGTGACGTGGGTGGTGACGTGGGTGGTGACGTGGGTGGTGACGTGGGTGGTGACGTGGGTGGTGACGTGGGTGGTGACGTGGGTGGTGACGTGGGTGGTGATGTGGGTGGTGGTGATGGTGATGTGGGTGGTGGTGTGGGTGGTGATGTGGGTGGTGATGTGGGTGGTGGTGTGGGTGGTGGTGTGGGTGGTGATGTGGGTGGTGGTGTGGGTGGTGGTGTGGGTGGTGATGTGGGTGGTGGTGTGCGTGGTGGTGTGGGTGGTGATGATGTGGGTGGTGATGTGCGTGGTGATGTGCGTGGTGATGTGGTTGGTGATGTTGGTGGTGATGTGGGTGGTGATGTTGGTGATGGTGTGCGTGGTGGTGTGGGTGGTGATGTGGGTGGTGATGTGGGTGGTGATGTGGGTGGTGATGTGGGTGGTGATGTGGGTGGTGATGTGGGTGGTGATGTGGGTGGTGATGTTGGTGGTGATGTGGGTGGTGATGTGGGTGGTGATGTGGGTGGTGATGTGGGTGGTGATGTGGGTGGTGATGTGGGTGGTGATGTGGGTGGTGATGTGGGTGGTGATGTGGGTGGTGATGTGGGTGGTGATGTGGGTGGTGATGTGGGTGGTGATGTGGGTGGTGATGTGGGTGGTGATGTGGGTGGTGATGTGGGTGGTGATGTGGGTGGTGATGTGGGTGGTGATGTGGGTGGTGATGTGCGTAGGGACGACAAGGAGGCCACCCAGCACATGAACGAGCTGATTGTGTCGCGCGTCGCCTCCGCCATCAGAGGGCACTGGACCAACCCCGACATGGTGAGCCGTGGTGATGGTCATGGTGGGGGTGGTGGTGGTGGTGGTAGTGGTAGTGGTGATGGTGGTGATGATGGTGATGATGGTGATGATGGTGGTGGTGGTGGTAGTGGTGATGGTGGTGATGATGGTGATGATGGTGGTAGTGGTGGTGGTAGTGGTGATGGTGGTGATGGTGGTAGTGGTGGTGGTGATGGTGTTGGGGGTGGTGGTGATGGTGGTGGTGGTTGTTGTGGTGGTGGTGGTGGTTGTTGTGGTGGTTGTTGTGATGATGGTGGTTGTAGTGATGATGGTGGTGATGGTGGTGGTGATGATGATGGTGGTGGTGGTCATGGTGACTGTTGTGGTTGTTGTGGTGGTGGTGGTTACTGTTGTTGTTGTTGTTCACCCGGCAGGTGAACTGTGTGAATGAGATGTTGTTGTTGTTGACACTGCAGGTGAACTGTGTTAATGAGATGTTGTTGATGTTGTTGTTGACACTGCAGGTGAACTGTGTTAATGAGATGATGTTGTTGACACTGCAGGTGAACTGTGTTAATGAGATGTTGTTGTTGACACTGCAGGTGAACTGTGTTAATGGGATGATTTTGTTGTTGTTGACACTGCAGGTGAACTGTGTTAATGGGATGATTTTGTTGTTGTTGACACTGCAGGTGAACTGTGTTAATGGGATGATTTTGTTGTTGTTGACACTGCAGGTGAACTGTGTTAATGAGATGTTGTTGTTGACACTGCAGGTGAACTGTGTTAATGAGATGATGTTGTTGTTGACACTGCAGGTGAACTGTGTTAATGAGATGTTGTTGATGTTGTTGTTGACACTGCAGGTGAACTGTGTTAATGAGATGTTGTTGATGTTGACACTGCAGGTGAACTGTGTTAATGAGATGTTGTTGTTGACACTGCAGGTGAACTGTGTTAATGAGATGTTGTTGTTGACACTGCAGGTGAACTGTGTTAATGAGATGTTGTTGTTGACACTGCAGGTGAACTGTGTTAATGAGATGTTGTTGTTGATGTTGTTGTTGACACTGCAGGTGAACTGTGTTAATGAGATGATGTTGCTCACCGACTCCATCTCCTTGGATGATCAATGCTGGGAGGAACGCCTCCGCTGTGGTACCCAGCACCATCATCAACACCACCAATACCATCATCATCAACATCACCAATACCACCATCATCATCAACATCATCACCACCAATACCATCATCATCATCAACATCATCAACACCACCAATACCATCATCATCATCAACATCATCAACACCACCAATACCATCATCATCATCATCAACACCATCATCAACACCACCACTACCATCATCATCAACACCACCAATACCATCATCATCATCAACACCACCACTACCATCATCAACACCACCAATACCATCATCATCATCAACACCACCACTACCATCATCAACACCACCAATACCATCATCATCATCAACACCACCACTACCATCATCATCACCACCACCACCATCATCAACATCACCACCACCACCATCATCAACATCACCACCACCATTATCAACACCACCAATACCATCATCATCATCAACACCATCAACATCACCACCACCATCATCAACATCATCAACACCATCAACATCACCACCACCATCATCAACATCATCAACACCACCAATACCATCATCATCATCAACATCACCACCACCATCACCATCATCACCACCACTACCATCATCATCAGCATCAACATCACCACCACCATCATCACCACCATCATCATGATCATCACCATCATCATCACCACCATCATCATCAACATCACCACCATCATCATCAACATCACCATCATCAACATCACCATCATCATCATCACCACCATCATCATCAACATCACCATCATCATCAACATCACCACCATCATCATCAACATCACCACCATCATCATCATCAACATCACCACCATCAACATCACCACCATCATCATCAACATCACCACCATCATCAACATCACCACCATCACCACCATCATCAACATCACCACCATCATCAACATCACCACCATCATCAACATCACCACCATCATCAACATCACCACCATCATCATCAACATCACCATCATCATCAACATCACCACCACCATCATCAACATCACCACCACCATCATCAACATCACCACCACCATCGTCACCACCATCGTCACCACCATCGTCACCATCACCACCACCATCGTCACCATCATCATCGTCATCACCAATGCCATCATCAATGCCATCATCAACATCACCACTACCATCAACATCATCATCGTCATCATCATCAACATCACCACTACCATCATCACCACCATCATCAACATCACCACCACTACCATCATCAACATCACCACTACCACCATCATCAACATCACCACTACCATCACCATCATCACCATCATCATCACCACCATCATCATCATCACCATTATCACCATCATCGTCATCACCACCACCATGATCAACATCACCACCACCACCACCATCATCACCCCACCATCACCACCACCATCGTCACCATCACTACCACCATCACCATGACCGCCGCCACCATCATCGCCACAACCGCCATCGCCATCACTACCACCACCATCACCACCATCACTACCACCATCGCCACGATCACCACCACCGCCATCATCACCGCCATCACCACCACCGCCATCACCACCACCGCCACCATCGCCACCATCACCACCACCATCACTACCACCACCATCACTACCACCACCGCCATCGTCACCGACGTCGCCGCCGCCGCCATCGCCACGACCACCATCACCACCGTCACCACCATCACCACCGCCACCATCGCCACCATCACCACCATCACCACCACCACCATCACCACCGCCGCCACCATCGCCACCATCACCACCATCACCACCATCACCACCATCACCACCACCACCACCGCCACCATCGCCACTCATCCCCCCCCCCCGTGCCTTGCCCCTCCTCCTCACCGTGTGCAGTCATGAGCCTCTTCCTGATGGCCGTGAGGGTTCAGTCCCCGCTGGTGGTGGAGAGCGTCTCCCTGCCCTGTCTGCGCATCCTGCAGCGCCTCATCCGGCCCCAGCCGCTCACCCGCACCAGCGCCAAGGTGGGGGGCTCGGTGGGGGGCACGGTGGGGGGCACGGTGGGGGGATGTGGGCTGCTATGTGCTACGAACTAGGATAGCTTTGTACCCTGTCAGACAGCTGGGTTTGGTGAGTGGGAGTGATCGGGTGGGCGAGTGATTGAGTGGGTGAGCGTGGGTGGGTGAGTGGGAGCGTGAGTGGGTGGGTGAGTGATTGAGTGGGTGAGCGTGGCTGGGTAAGCGTGGGTGAGTGGGATTGAGTGGGTGAGTGATTGAGTGGGTGAGTGTGGGTGGGTGAATGGGAGCGTGAGCGGGTGGGTGAGTGATTGAATGGGTGAGCGTGGCTGGGTGGGTGAGTGGGAGTGAGCGGGCGGGTGAGTGATTGAGTGGGTGAGCGTAGGTGGGTGAGTGGGAGCGTGAGTGGGTGGGTGAGTGATTGAGTGGATGAGCGTGGGTGGGTGAGTGGGATTGAGTGGGTGGGTGAGTGATTGAGTGGGTGAGTGGGAGTGAGAGTGGGTGAGTGTGTGCGTGTGGGGGTGAGCTGAACGTGAGTGGGATTGAGTGTGGGTGAGTGTCAGTGTGGGTGAGCATGTGGGTGAGTGTGTAGGGGTGAGCGTGAGTGAGTGTTGTCGCTTTGCGTGCTTGCGCTGCAGGAGAGCGTGAGTGGGGGTGAGCGTGTGGGTGAGCGTGTGGGTGAGCGTGTGGGTGAGCGTGTGGGTGAGCGTGTGGGTGAGCGTGAGTGGGAGTGAGCGTGTAGGGGTGAGCGTGAGTGTGGGTGAGTGAGTGTGGGTGAGTGTGGGTGAGTGAGTGTGTAGGGGTGAGCGAGTGGGTGAGTGTGGGTGAGTGTGTAGGGGTGAGTGTGAGTGAGTGAGTGTGAGTGAGTGAGTGAGTGTGTAGGGGTGAGTGAGAGTGAGTGTGAGTGGGTGAGTGTTGTCGCAGTGCGTGCTTGTGCTGCAGGAGAGCGTGAGTGGGTGAGTGTGGGTGAGTGTGGGTGAGTGTGAGTGAGTGAGTGTGGGTGAGTGAGTGAGTGAGTGTGTAGGGGTGAACGTGAGTGAGTGAGTGTTGTCGCTGTGTGTCCTTGTGCTGCAGGAGAGCACCCCAGAGTCTCGCTGCTCGGTGCGGCCCTACAGCAGCGAGCTGCACGCTCAAGTGGAGCCCTGGCTTGCTGCTGAGCCAGGGGCCTCATTCCTCGCGTGGAGACGCAGCCTGCCTGCCCGTGGTAACGCAGACTCACTCACTCGCACGCTCACTCACTCGCTCACTCACACGCCCGCTCGTTCACACGCTCGCTCGCTCGCACGCTCACCCGCTCGCTCACCCGCTCGCTCACCTGCTCGCTCGTTCACCCGCTCGCTCGTTCACACGCTCGCTCGTTCACACGCTCACCCGCTCGCTCGTTCACACGCTTGCTCGCTCGCTCACCCGCTCGCTCGTTCACCCGCTCGCTCGTTCACCCGCTCGCTCGTTCACCCGCTCGCTCGTTCACACGCTCGCTCACACGCTCACCCGCTCGCTCACTCACCCCACTCGCTCGCCCGCTCGCTCACCCGCTCGCACGCTCACCCGCTCGCCCACTCGCTCGCTCACCCACTCGCTCACCCGCTCGCTCGCTCACCCGATCGCTCGCTCGCACGCTCACCCGCTCGCACGCTCACTCACCCACTCACCCGCTTGCTCACCCACTCGCTCGCCCGCTCGCACGCTCACCCGCTCGCTCACTCGCTCACCCACTCGCTCGTTCACACGCTCGCTCACTGTCTCGTTCACACGCTCACCTGCTCGCTCACTCATTCACTCACTCATTCACACACACACTCATACACTCATTCTCACACTCGCACTCATTCACACACTCACACTCATGCACTCATTCACATACTCACATTCACACACTCACATTAACACACACTCATTCTCACACTCATTCACACACTCACACTCATTCACACACTCATTCACACACTGCCAATCATTCACACACTCACACTCATTCACACACTCATTCACACACTCACATTCACACATTCACACACACTCATTCTCACACTCATTCACACACTCATTCACACACTCATTCACACACTCACACACTCATTCACACACACTCAAACACTCATTCACACACTCACATTCACACACTCACATTCACACACTCACTCACACATTCACACACTCACACTCATTCACACACTCACTCATTCACACACTCACACACACACACACTCTCACACACAAACCCACACACTCACACACTCACACACTCTCACACACTCACACACTCACTCACACACACATTCACACACACACTCACACACACACTCACACACTCACTCACTCACACTCACTCACTCACACACACTCACACACACACACTCACTCACTCACACTCACTCACTCACACACACTCACACTCACACACTCACTCACACACACACACTCACATTCACACTCACACACTCACTCACACACACACTCACACACTCACTCACACACATACTCACTCATTCACACTCTCACACATTCACACTCACACACACTCACACACACACACACTCTCACACTCATCTCCCCCCCCGCGCCCCGCCCCCAGTGGCTGAGGGTGGTGCTGTGAGGCCTGGGGACCGTGCGGCATTCCGGTGGCGCTTCCTGGCTGAGAAGTACCTCTGGCGTTGGCGGCTCGCCATGCAGAGGGGGGGGCACTGCACTCGCCTGCCCCCCATGGAGCTTCAGCTGGGGCACAACAACTGGCTTCGTCAGGTGGGGGGTGATGGTGATGGTGTGGTGTGACGTCAGCTGGGGCACAACAACTGGCTTCGTCAGGTGGGGGGTGATGGTGGTGTGGTGTGACGTCAGCTGGGTCACAACAACTGGCTTCGTCAGGTGGGGGGTGATGGTGTGGTGTGACGTCAGCTGGGTCACAACAAGTGTCTCTGTCGGGTGGTGTGACGTCAGCTGGGTCACAACAAGTGTCTCTGTCGGGTGGTGTGACGTCAGCTGGGTCACAACAAGTGTCTCTGTCACGTGGTGTGACGTCAGCTGGGTCACAACAAGTGTCTCTGTCGGGTGGTGTGACGTCAGCTGGGTCACAACAAGTGTCTCTGTCGGGTGGTGTGACGTCAGCTGGGTCACAACAAGTGTCTCTGTCGGGTGGGGGGTGGTGGTGTGACGTCAGCTGGGTCACAACAAGTGTCTCTGTCGGGTGGTGTGACGTCAGCTGGGTCACAACAAGTGTCTCTGTCAGGTGGTGTGACGTCAGCTGGGTCACAACAAGTGTCTCTGTCACGTGGTGTGACGTCAGCTGGGTCACAACAAGTGTCTCTGTCGGGTGGTGTGACGTCAGCTGGGTCACAACAAGTGTCTCTGTCGGGTGGTGTGACGTCAGCTGGGTCACAACAAGTGTCTCTGTCGGGTGGTGTGACGTCAGCTGGGTCACAACAACTGGCTTCGTCAGGTGGTGTGACGTCAGCTGGGTCACAACAAGTGTCTCTGTCGGGTGGTGTGACGTCAGCTGGGTCACAACAAGTGTCTCTGTCGGGTGGTGTGACGTCAGCTGGGTCACAACAAGTGTCTCTGTCGGGTGGTGTGACGTCAGCTGGGTCACAACAAGTGTCTCTGTCAGGTGGTGTGACGTCAGCTGGGTCACAACAACTGGCTTCGTCAGGTGGTGTGACGTCAGCTGGGTCACAACAAGTGTCTCTGTCGGGTGGTGTGACGTCAGCTGGGTCACAACAAGTGTCTCTGTCGGGTGGTGTGACGTCAGCTGGGTCACAACAACTGGCTTCGTCAGGTGGGGGGTGATGGTGTGGTGTGACGTCAGCTGGGTCACAACAAGTGTCTCTGTCAGGTGGTGTGACGTCAGCTGGGTCACAACAAGTGTCTCTGTCGGGTGGTGTGACGTCAGCTGGGTCACAACAAGTGTCTCTGTCGGATGGTGTGACGTCAGCTGGGTCACAACAAGTGTCTCTGTCAGGTGGTGTGACGTCAGCTGGGTCACAACAAGTGTCTCTGTTGGGTGGTGTGACGTCAGCTGGGTCACAACAAGTGTCTCTGTCAGGTGGTGTGACGTCAGCTGGGTCACAACAAGTGTCTCTGTCGGGTGGTGTGACGTCAGCTGGGTCACAACAAGTGTCTCTGTCGGGTGGTGTGACGTCAGCTGGGTCACAACAAGTGTCTCTGTCAGGTGGTGTGACGTCAGCTGGGTCACAACAAGTGTCTCTGTCACATGGTGTGATGTCAGCTGGGTCACAACGTGTGTCTCTGTCACGTGGTGTGACGTCAGCTGGGTCACAACAAGTGTCTCTGTCAGGTGGTGTGACGTCAGCTGGGTCACAACAAGTGTCTCTGTCAGGTGGTGTGACGTCAGCTGGGTCACAACAAGTGTCTCTGTCACGTGGTGTGACGTCAGCTGGGTCACAACGTGTGTCTCTGTCACGTGGTGTGACGTCAGCTGGGTCACAACAAGTGTCTCTGTCAGGTGGTGTGACGTCAGTTGGGTCACAACAAGTGTCTCTGTCAGGTGGTGTGACGTCAGCTGGGTCACAACAAGTGTCTCTGTCACGTGGTGTGACGTCAGCTGGGTCACAACAAGTGTCTCTGTCAGGTGGTGTGACGTCAGCTGGGTCACAACAAGTGTCTCTGTCACGTGGTGTGACGTCAGCTGGGTCACAACGTGTGTCTCTGTCGGGTGGTGTGACGTCAGCTGGGTCACAACAAGTGTCTCTGTCGGGTGGTGTGACGTCAGCTGGGTCACAACAAGTGTCTCTGTCAGGTGGTGTGACGTCAGCTGTGTCACAACAAGTGTCTCTGTCGGGTGGTGTGACGTCAGCTGGGTCACAACAAGTGTCTCTGTCGGGTGGTGTGACGTCAGCTGGGTCACAACAAGTGTCTCTGTCAGGTGGTGTGACGTCAGCTGGGTCACAACAAGTGTCTCTGTCAGGTGGTGTGACGTCAGCTGTGTCACAACAAGTGTCTCTGTCGGGTGGTGTGACGTCAGCTGGGTCACAACAAGTGTCTCTGTCAGGTGGTGTGACGTCAGCTGGGTCACAACAAGTGTCTCTGTCAGGTGGTGTGACGTCAGCTGGGTCACAACAAGTGTCTCTGTCAGGTGGTGTGACGTCAGCTGGGTCACAGCAAGTGTCTCTGTCGGGTGGTGTGACGTCAGCTGGGTCACAACAAGTGTCTCTTTTGGGTGGTGTGACGTCAGCTGGGTCACAACAAGTGTCTCTGTTGGGTGGGGGGTGGTGGTGTGATGTCAGCTGGGTCACAACAACTGGATTCTAAGCTGACCTCCCTTCATCTCCACCACCACCTCATCTCCCTCCACCTCCACCACCTCCTCATCTCCCTCCACCACCATCTCCACCAACTCCTCATCTCCCTCCATATCCACCACCTCGTTATCTCCACCACCTCCTCATCTCCCTCCACCTCCTCATCTCCACCACCTCCTCATCTCCCTCCACCTCCTCATCTCCCTCCATCTCCACCACCTCCTCATTTCCACCACCTCCTCATCTCCCTCCATCTCCACCATCTCCACCACCTCCTCATCTCCACCACCTCATCTCCCACCATCTCCCTCCATCTCCACCACCTCGTCATCTCCACCACCTCCTCATCTCCCACCACCTCCTCATCTCCCTCCATCTCCAACACCTCCTCATCTCCACCACCTCCTCATCTCCCACCACCTCCTCATCTCCACCATCTCCCTCCACCTCGTCATCTCCACCATCTCCCTCCACCTCGTCGTCTCCCACAGATCCTCTTCACGCCGTCGTCGCAGGCCGCCCGCCAGGCTGCCTGTGCCATCGTCGAGGCGCTGGGCTGCTTGCAGTCACGCAAGCAGCAAGTGCTGGACCTGCTCACCAGGTGAGGAGCGGGGGGGTGAGCGGGTGTGTGGGTGAGTGAGTGAGTGGGTGGGTGGGTGGGTGGGTGAGTGGGTGAGCGGGTGAGTGGGTGGGTGGGTGGGTGAGTGAGTGGGTGGGTGGGTGGGTGGGTGAGTGGGTGGGTGGGTGGGTAGGTTAATGAATGATTTGGTGGGTGAGCGAGTGGCTGATTGAGCGGGTGGGTGAGTGAGTGGGTGGGTGAGTGGGTGGGTGGGTGAGTGGGTGGGTGGGTGAGTGAGTGAGTGGGTGGGTGGGTAGGTGAGTGGGTGGGTGGGTAGGTTAATGAATGATTTGGTGGGTGAGCGAGTGGCTGATTGAGCGGGTGAGTGGGTGGGTGGGTGAGTTAGTGGGTGGGTGGGTTAATGAATGATTTGGTGGGTGAATGAGTGAGCGAGTGGCTGAGTGAGCGAGTGGCTGAGTGAGCGAGTGGATGAGTGAGCGAGTGGCTGAGTGAGCGAGTGGCTGATTGAGTGGGTGGGTGAGTGAGTGGGTGGGTGGGTAGGTTAATGAATGATTTGGTGGGTGAATGAGTGAGCGAGTGGCTGATTGAGTAGGTGGGTGGGTGAGCGGGTGGGTGCATGAGTGAGCGAGTGGTTGAGTGGGTGGGTAGATTAATGAATGAGTGAGTGGGTGGGTGAGTGGGTGGGTGCGTGAGTGAGTGGGTGGGTGGGTGAGTTAGCGAGTGGGTGGGTAGATTAATGAATGAGTGGGTGGGTGAGTGAGTGAGTGAGCAAGCTATTGGGGAGGTAGATTAATGAATGATTTGGTGGGTGAATGAGTGAGCGAGTGGCTGATTGAGTGGCTGGGTGGGTGAGCGGGTGGCTGGGTAGATTAATGAATGAGTGGGTGAGCGAGAGTGCGAGTGGCTGGGTAGATTAATGAATGAGTGGGTGGGTGAATGAGTTAGCGAGCGGTTGAGTGGGTGGGTGAATGAGTTAGCGAGCGGTTGAGTGGGTGGGTGAATGAGTTAGCGAGCGGTTGGGTGGGTGAATGAGTTGGCGAGCGGTTGCGTGGGCGGGTGAATGAGTTAGCGAGCGGTTGAGTGGGCGGGTGAATGAGTTAGCGAGCGGTTTGGTGGGCGGGTGAATGAGTTAGCGAGCGGTTGAGTGGGCGGGTGAATGAGTTAGCGAGCGGTTGAGTGGGCGGGTGAATGAGTTAGCGAGCGGTTGAGTGGGCGGGTGAATGAGTTAGCGAGCGGTTGAGTGGGCGGGTGAATGAGTTAGCGAGCGGTTGAGTGGGCGGGTGAATGAGTTAGCGAGCGGTTGAGTGGGTGGGTCAATGAGTTAGCGAGCGGTTGAGTGGGTGGGTGAATGAGTTAGCGAGCGGTTGAGTGGGCGGGTGAATGAGTGAGCGAGCGGTTGGGTGGGTGAATGAGTTAGCGAGCGGTTGAGTGGGCGGGTGAATGAGTTAGCGAGCGGTTGAGTGGGCGGGTGAATGAGTGAGCGAGCGGTTGAGTGGGTGGGTAGATTAATGAATGAATGAATGGGTGGGTGAGTGGGTGGGTGGTTTTGGGCGAGTGAGGTGGTGGAATGTGTGGGTGGCTCGTTGTTGTGAGAGAGTCGTTGGATTAGTGAGTAGGCCGATGATTAGAGGGGCGAGTGGGCGAGGGAGCGAGCGGGCGGGCGAGTGAGCGGGTGGGCGAGTGAGCGGGTGGGCGAGTGGGCGAGCGAGTGGGTCGCTGTCCGTGCGGCGTGCAGCTACCTGGACGAGCTGAGCTCAGCAGGGGAGTGTGCCTCCGAGTACCTGGCCCTCTACCAGAAGCTCATCCGCCCCTCCCACTGGAAGGTTTACGTAGCGGCACGGGGCGCCCTGCCACGCATCGGCAACCTCATCACCAAGGTGGGTCCACCGCCACCACCGCCGCCACCACCACCGCCGCCACGCTCGCTCGCCCAGCCACTCGTCCACCTTCTCGCCCGTCCGCTCGGTCACCCGCTCGCCCCACCTTGTCACTCGCACACCCGCCCGCTCGCCTGCCCGCTCACCCACCCGCTCACCCACCCACCTCACCCACCCACCTCACCCACCCACCTCACTCACCCGCTCACTCACCCACTCAACCGCCCACCCACTCGCCCACCCACTCGCCCACCCACTCGCCCACCCACTCACCCACCCACTCACCCACCCACTCAACCACCCGCTCACCTGCTCACTCGCCCACCCATCCGCTCACTCGCCCACTCGCTCACTCACCCACCCACTCACCCACTCACCCGCTCACTCACCCTCTCACTCACTCACTCACCCACTCACTCACTCACTTACCCACTCACCCTCTCACTCACCCACCCACTCACTTACCCACTCACCCTCTCACTCACCCACTCACCCACCCACTCACTTACCCACTCACCCTCTCACTCACCCACTCACTAACCCGCCCGCCCACTCACCCACCCACCCACCCACTCACCCGCTCACCCACCCGCTCACCCGCTCACCCTCTCATCCTCCCCGTTCCTCACCACCAGGAGATAGCTCAGCTGCTGGCGCTGGAGGAGGCCACCTTGACCTCCGACCTTCAGCAGGGATACGCCCTCAAGATGCTCACAGGTCAGAGGTCACTCACGCAAAGGCGCCCCCAGGTAGCCTCTAGCGGGCCGTAGGGTCAAGTGCATGGACCCTCATACAGAGGTCACCCCAGGTAGCCTCTAGCAGGCCGTAGGGTCAAGTGCATGGACCCTCATACAAAGGTCACCCACCCCAGGTAGCCTCTAGCAGGCCGGAAGGGTCAAGTGCATGGACCCTCATACAGAGGTCACCCACCCCAGGTAGCCTCTAGCAGGCTGTAGGGTCAAGTGCATGGACCCTCATACAGAGGTCACCCACCCCAGGTAGCCTCTAGCAGCCCGTAGGGTCAAGTGCATGAACCCTCATACAGAGGTCACCCACCCCTGCCCAGGTAGCCTCTAGCAGGCCATAGGGTCAAGTGCATTGACCCTCATACAGAGGTCACCCACCCCAGGTAGCCTCTAGCAGCCCGTAGGGTCAAGTGCATGAACCCTCATACAGAGGTCACCCACCCCTGCCCAGGTAGCCTCTAGCAGGCCATAGGGTCAAGTGCATGGACCCTCATACAGAGGTCACCCACCCCAGGTAGCCTCTAGCAGCCCGTAGGGTCAAGTGCATGAACCCTCATACAGAGGTCACCCACCCCTGCCCAGGTAGCCTCTAGCAGGCCATAGGGTCAAGTGCATGGACCCTCATACAGAGGTCACCCACCCCAGGTAGCCTCTAGCAGGCCGTAGGGTCAAGTGCATTGAACGCTCTCTCCACCGCTCCCCCCCCACCGCTCCCCCCCCCCCCCCCCCCACCGCTCCCCCCCCACTGCTCCCCCCCCCCCCCACCGCTCCCCCCCCACCAGAGCTGCTGTCCTCCTTCGTGGAGGCCGAGTCCATCAAGCGACAGTTCAAGGGTCGCCTCGTAGGCACGGTGCTGGACGGCTACCTGTGCCTGCGCAAGCTGGTGGTGCAGCGCACCAAGGCCATCGACGAGACACAGGACCTGCTGCTCGAGATGCTGGAGGACATGACCACGGGTGAAGAGGCACACCTCACCACACGCTCACCACGACACTCACCACGACACTCACCACGAGACTCACCACCACACTCACCACCACACTCACCACGAGACGAGACACAGGACCTGCTGCTCGAGATGCTGGAGGACATGACCACGGGTGAAGAGGCACACCTCACCACACGCTCACCACGACACTCACCACGACACTCACCACGACACTCACCACGACACTCACCACGAGACGAGACACAGGACCTGCTGCTCGAGATGCTGGAGGACATGACCACGGGTGAAGAGGCACACCTCACCACACGCTCACCACGACACTCACCACGACACTCACCACGAGACTCACCACCACACTCACCACCACACTCACCACGAGACGAGACACAGGACCTGCTGCTCGAGATGCTGGAGGACATGACCACGGGTGAAGAGGCACACCTCACCACACGCTCACCACGACACTCACCACGACACTCACCACGACACTCACCACGACACTCACCACGAGACGAGACACAGGACCTGCTGCTCGAGATGCTGGAGGACATGACCACGGGTGAAGAGGCACACCTCACCCCACGCTCACCACGACACTCACCACGACACTCACCACGACACTCACCACGACACTCACCACAAGACTCACCACGACACTCACCACGACACTCACCACGACACTCACCACAAGACTCACCACGACACTCACCACGACACTCACCACGACACTCACCACCACACTCACCACGAGACTCACCACGAGACTCACCACCACACTCACCACGAGACGAGACACAGGACCTGCTGCTCGAGATGCTGGAGGACATGACCACGGGTGAGGAGGCACACCTCACCCCACGCTCACCACACGCTCACCACGACACTCACCACGACACTCACCACGACACTCACCACGACACTCACCACGACACTCACCACCACACTCACCACGACACTCACCACGACACTCACCACGACACTCACCACGACACTCACCACGACACTCACCACGACACTCACCACGAGACTCACCACGAGACTCACCACCACACTCACCACGACACTCACCACCACACTCACCACGAGACGAGACACAGGACCTGCTGCTCGAGATGCTGGAGGACATGACCACGGGTGAAGAGGCACACCTCACCCCACGCTCACCACGACACTCACCACCACACTCACCACGACACTCACCACGAGACTCACCACGACACTCACCACGACACTCACCACCACACTCACCACGACACTCACCACCACACTCACCACAAGACTCACCACGAGACTCACCACCACACTCACCACGAGACGAGACACAGGACCTGCTGCTCGAGATGCTGGAGCACATGACCACGGGTGAAGAGGCACACCTCACCCCCCCTCCCCCCCCCCCTGCTCACCACGCTCGCCCCCACGCTCACCCCCACGCTCACCACCACGCTCACCACCACGCTCACCACCACGCTCGCCCCCACGCAGGGACGGAGCTGGAGACCAAGGGCTTCATGGCCGTGTGTATCGAGACGGCAAAGCGCTACAGCCTGGATGACTACCGCACGCCCGTGTTCATCTTCGAGCGACTCTGCAGCATTATCTACCCGGTGCGTTCGGCCGCTCGCCAACCCGCTCGCTCGTTCAATCGTTTACCCACTCGCTCGCCCACCCGCTCGCTCGCCAACCCGCTCGCTCACCCACCCGCTCGCTCACTCGTTTACCCACTCGCCCGCTCGCCAACCCGCTCGCTCGCTCGCTCGCTCGTTCAATCGTTTACCCGCTCGCTCGCCCGCCCGCTCGCCCGCTCGCCAACCCACTCGCTCGCCCACCCGCTCGCCCACCCGCTCAATCGTTTACCCGGCCGCTCGCCCACCCGCTCGCCCACCCGCTCAATCGTTTACCCGCCCGCTCGCCCACCCGCTCGCCCACCTGCTCGCTCACTCGTTCAATCGTTTACCCGCTCGCTCACCCACCCGCTCACCCGCTCGCCAACCCACTCGCTCGCCCACCCGCTCGCCCACCCGCTCAATCGTTTACCCGGCCGCTCGCCCACCCGCTCGCTCACCCGCTCAATCGTTTACCCGCCCGCTCGCCCACCCGCTCGCCCACCTGCTCGCTCACTCGTTCAATCGTTTACCCGCTCGCTCACCCGCCCGCTCGCCCGCTCGCCAACCCACTCGCTCGCCCACCCGCTCGCCCACCCGCTCAATCATTTACCCGCTCGCTCGCCCGCCCGCCCGTCTCCATCTCGCTCCCCCCTGCGCGCGCCCCCCCCCCTCCGCGGTGTTGATGGGGTGGCGGTTACCGTGGTGACCGTGGTTACCGTGGTGACCGTGGTGACCGTGGTGACCGTGGTTACCGGTGGCGGTTTCCCGCGTGGCGACCGTGGGCGCAGGAGGAGAACGCTGTGAGCGAGTTCTTTGTGGCGCTGGAGAAGGACCCCCAGCAGGAGGACTTCCTGCAGGGCCGCATGCCGGGCAACCCGTACAGCAGCGCGGAGCCGGCCATCGGCCCCCTGATGCGCGACATCAAGAACAAAATCTGCCGCGACTGTGACCTCGTCGCCCTGCTGGAGGACGACAGTGGCATGGAGGTGGGGGCGGGGGGGGGGGGGGAGTGGGGGGGGGGGGTGGTGGTGGTGGTGGTGTGGTTGATGGTGGTGGTGGTGGTGGTCATAATAGTGGTGGTGGTTATAATAGTGGTGGTTATAATAGTGGTGGTGGTGGTGATTATAATGGTGGTGGTTATAATGGTGGTGGTGGTTATAATAGTGGTGGTGGTTATAATAGTGGTTGTTATAATAGTGGTGGTGGTGGTGGTGGTTATAATAGTGGTAGTGGTGGTTATAATAGTGGTGGTGGTTATAATAGTGGTGGTGGTGGTGGCGGTTATAATGGTGGTGGTGGTTATAATAGTGGTGGTGGTTATAATAGTGGTGGTGGTTATAATGGTGGTGGTGGTTATAATGGTGGTGGTGGTGGTTATAATAGTGGTGGTTATAATAGTGGTGGTGGTTATAATGGTGGTGGTTATAATAGTGGTGGTTATAATGGTGGTGGTGGTTATAATAGTGGTGGTGGTTATAATAGTGGTGGTGGTGGTTATAATGGTGGTGGTGGTTATAATGGTGGTGGTGGTGGTTATAATAATGGTGGTTATAATGGTGGTGGTGGTTATAATAGTGGTGGTGGTTATAATAGTGGTGGTGGTGGTTATAATGGTGGTGGTGGTTATAATGGTGGTGGTGGTGGTTATAATAGTGGTGGTTATAATGGTGGTGGTGGTGGTGGTTATAATAGTGGTGGTGGTGGTTATAATAGTGGTGGTTATAATAGTGGTGGTGGTGGTGGTTATATTAGTGGTGGTGGTTATAATAGTGGTCGTGGTGGTGGTTATATTAGTGGTGGTGGTTATAATAGTGGTCGTGGTGGTGGTTATAACTGGTGGTGGTGGTGGTTATAACAGTGGTGGTGGTTATAATAGTGGTGGTGGTTATAATAGTGGTGGTGGTGGTTATAATAGTGGTGGTGGTTATAATAGTGGTCGTGGTGGTTATAATAGTGGTGGTCGTGGTGGTTATAACAGTGGTGGTGGTGGTGGTGGTTATAATAGTGGTGGTGGTTATAATAGTGGTGGTGGTTATAATAGTGGTGGTGGTGATTGGTAGTTGTATGGATTGGTGGTTGTAGTGGTGGTGGTTGGTGGTGGTGGTGGTAATTGTTCATCTCTCCGTGTCTCTCTCCGTGTGTCTCTCTCCGTGTGTCTCTCTCCGTGTCTCTCTCCGTGTGTCTCTCTCCGTGCGTCTCTCTCTCCGTGTGTCTCTCTCCGTGTGTCTCTCTCCGTGTGTCTCTCTCCGTGTGTCTCTCTCCGTGTGTCTCTCTCCGTGTGTCTCTCTCCGTGTGTCTCTCTCCGTGTGTCTCTATCCCGCCCACCAGCTGCTCGTCAACAACAAGATCATCAGCCTGGACCTCCCTGTTGCTGAGGTCTACAAGAAAGTTTGGTGCCCAACAGCGGAGGTGACCCCCAGCCGCAGCCTGCCCATCCACTCGCTCACGAACCCGCCAACCCACTCGCTCGCTCACTCGTCCGCTCGCTCACCCGCCCACTCATCCACTCGCTCGCTCACTCACTCGTCCGCTCGCTCACCCGCCCACTCATCCGCTCGCTCGCTCACTCACGCACCCACTCATCCGCTCGCTCGCTCGCTCACTCATCCACTCACCTGACTCACTCATCCACTCGCTCACTCACTCACTCATCCACTCGCCCACTCACTCATCCGCTCACTCACTCACTCATTCGCTCACTCACTCATCCGCTCACTCACTCGCTTACCCACTCACTCACTCACTCATCCACTCACTCACTCACTCGCTCATCCACTCGCTCACTCACTCATCCACTCACTCATCCACTCACTCATCCACTCGCTCACTCACTCACTCGTCCACTCGCTCACCCACTCATCCACTCGCTCATCCACTCGTGCTCTCACTCACTCACTCATCCACTCACTCGCTCATCCACTCACTCGCTCATCCACTCGCTCACTCACTCACTCGTCCACTCGCTCACCCGCTCATCCACTCGCTCATCCACTCGCTCTCTCACTCACTCATCCGCTCACTCACTCACTCATTCGCTCACTCACTCATCCGCTCACTCACTCGCTTACCCACTCACTCACTCACTCATCCACTCGCTCATCCACTCGCTCATCCACTTGCTCACTCACTCGCTCATCCACTCGCTCACTCACTCACTCATCCACTCACTCATCCACTCACTCATCCACTCGCTCACTCACTCACTCGTTCACTCGCTCACCCACTCATCCACTCGCTCATCCACTCGCTCACTCACTCATCCACTCGCTCACTCACTCGCTCATCCACTCGCTCACTCGCTCATCCACTCGCTCACTCGCTCATCCACTCGCTCACTCACTCATCCACTCACTCATCCACTCATCTACTCACTCATCCACTCGCTCACTCACTCACTCGTCCACTCGCTCACCCACTCATCCACTCGCTCTCTCGCTCACTCATCCACTCGCTCACTCGCTCATCCACTCGCTCATTCACTCACTCGTCCACTCGCTCACCCACTCATCCACTCGCTCACCCACTCATCCACTCGCTCATCCACTCGCTCTCTCACTCGCTCATCCACTCACTCACTCATCCACTCGCTCACTCGCTCACTCGCTCACTCGCTCATCCACTCGCTCACCCACTCACTCACCCGCCCACTCATCTACTCGCTCACTCATCCACTGCATGTGTGTGCGTGTGTGTGTGCGTGTGTGCGTGCGTGTGTGCGTGCGTGCGCGTGCGTCGCAGGGAGAGGCCATGCGCATTGTGTACCGCATGAGGGGACTCCTCGGAGATGCCACGGAGGAGTTCATCGAGTCCCTGGACACAGCCGCAGGTGAGGCGGTGGCCTGTGGCACTGTGGCACTGTGGCACTGTGACACTGTGGCACTGTAACACTGTGACACTGTGACACTGTGGCACTGTGGCACTGTGACACTGTGGCACTGTGGCACTGTGGCACTGTGGCACTGTGGCACTGCGGTGTTTCTCAAGAAGCATTGAAATAGCTGAGGGATTAGCTTGTGACTGGTCACAGAAATAGATGTCCGAGTAAAGGCCTACACATCCACAGAGCTTCAATGAACGATGTTAAGATTCGTAGCGACTTCTCCCAACCAGCTTAAAAAGTCGCTACGAATCTTAACATCGTTTATTGAAGCTCTGTCGTCCCGACGGGTCCGTACCTTCAACCTGAAGACGGCCGCTTGCGTTGTGGCCGAAACGTCGTGAGAATTTTATTGTGTTATTTTATTATTTTATTCTCATTCTACGTGGGTGGGTGACCTTTTCCGAAAGAACCAAAGAAGATGGATCCTCGCAGTCACGAAAGCTTTAAATCGAAGAAGGTTCCCCGAAAGCATCTCGATCTGAAGCTTTCGTGGCTGCAGGCAGTGCAAACTCCGTTGGTACCTTCCCCGTCAAGCCACGCCGTGATCCTGTGGGTTTGTTATTCTACCTCGGAGGCTTCGCCGATGCAAGCGCAGGGGAAAAATGGGTTACCCCGTGAGTAAAATATCTAGCGCGTACAAAAAAATGAAAAAATAATAAAAACCCAACAACCCTTCGATTTAAAGCTTTCGTGACTGCGAGGATTCATCTTCTTTGGTTCTTTCGGTAAAGTCACCACCACCACCACGTAGAATGAGAATAAAATAATAAATTGATAAAATAAAATAACACGATAATATTCGCACGACGTTTCGGCCACAACACAAGCGGCCTTCATCAGGTGAAGGGGGACGAGACTGTCTGGAGGACAGCGCTGGAGTGAAAGAGCCACGTTCAGATCACGACCTTTAAGCTGTGTGAGAGGAAACAAAGCGCCTTGACAAAGGAATTAGCACAGAATTTAGCATTGAAATAACTGAGGGATTAGCTTGTGACTGGTCACAGAAATAGCTACGTTAAAGTCAAAGCCTGCACATCCACAGAGGCACCTGGTACAAATCAAACAGGATAATTTAGCATTGAAATAACTGAGGGATTAGCTTGTGACTGGTCACAGAAATGGCTACGTTAAAGTCAAAGCCTGCACATCCACAGAGGCACCTAGTACAAATCAAACAGGAGAATTTAGCATTGAAATAGCTGAGTGATTAGCTTGTGACTGGTCACAGAAATAGCTATGTTAAAGTCAAAGCCTGCACATCCACAGAGGCACCTAGTACAAATCAAACAGGAGAATTTAGCATTGAAATAACTGAGGGATTAGCTTGTGACTGGTTACAGAAATAGCTACGTTAAAGTCAAAGCCTGCACATCCACAGAGGCACCTCGTACAAATCAAACAGGAGAATTTAGCATTGAAATAACTGAGGGATTAGCTTGTGACTGGTCACAGAAATGGCTACGTTAAAGTTAAAGCCTGCACATCCACAGAGGCACCTAGTACAAATCAAACAGGAGAATTTAGCATTGAAATAGCTGAGTGATTAGCTTGTGACTGGTCACAGAAATAGCTATGTTAAAGTCAAAGCCTGCACATCCACAGAGGCACCTAGTACAAATCAAACAGGAGAATTTAGCATTGAAATAACTGAGGGATTAGCTTGTGACTGGTTACAGAAATAGCTACGTTAAAGTCAAAGCCTGCACATCCACAGAGGCACCTCGTACAAATCAAACAGGAGAATTTAGCATTGAAATAACTGAGGGATTAGCTTGTGACTGGTCACAGAAATGGCTATGTTAAAGTTAAAGCCTGCACATCCACAGAGGCACCTAGTACAAATCAAACAGGAGAATTTAGCATTGAAATAACTGAGTGATTAGCTTGTGACTGGTCACAGAAATGGCTACGTTAAAGTCAAAGCATACACATTCACAGAGGCACCTGGTACAAATCAAACAGGATAATTTAGCATTGAAATAGCTGAGTGATTAGCTTGTGACTGGTCACAGAAATAGCTATGTTAAAAGTTAAAGCATACACATCCGCAAAGGCACCCCTTGACAAAGGAATTAGCATAGAATTTAGCATTGAAATAGCTGAGTGATTAGCTTGTAACTGGTCACAGAAATAGCTATGTTAAAGTCAAAGCCTGCACATCCACAGAGGCACCTGGTACAAATCAAACAGGAGAATTTAGCATTGAAATGGCTGAGTGATTAGCTTGTAACTGGTCACAGAAATAGCTACGTTAAAGTCAAAGCCTACACATCCACAGAGGCACCTAGTACAAATCAAACAGGAGAATTTAGCATTGAAATAACTGAGTGATTAGCTTGTGACTGGTCACAGAAATGGCTACGTTAAAGTCAAAGCATACACATTCACAGAGGCACCTGGTACAAATCAAACAGGATAATTTAGCATTGAAATAGCTGAGTGATTAGCTTGTGACTGGTCACAGAAATAGCTATGTTAAAAGTTAAAGCATACACATCCGCAAAGGCACCCCTTGACAAAGGAATTAGCATAGAATTTAGCATTGAAATAGCTGAGTGATTAGCTTGTAACTGGTCACAGAAATAGCTATGTTAAAGTCAAAGCCTGCACATCCACAGAGGCACCTGGTACAAATCAAACAGGAGAATTTAGCATTGAAATGGCTGAGTGATTAGCTTGTGACTGGTCACAGAAATAGCTACGTTAAAGTCAGACCAGTCACAAGCTAATCACTCGGTTATTTCAATGCTAAATTCGCTGTCTCACTCCAGCGCTGTCCCTCCACACAGTCTCGTCCCCTTCACCTGATGAAGGCCACTTGCGTTGTGGACGAAACGTCTTGAGAATATTATCGTGTTATTTTATTTTATCAATTTATTATTTTATTCTCATTCTACGTGGTGGTGGTGGTGACTTTAGCGAAAGAACCAAAGAAGATGAACCCAACAACCCTTCGATTATTAAAGCGCGTTGCGTTTCCGTTCAACCCGCGCAGTTCGCCGGCTTTAGCTCCGTTGTCTTTTCGTTTTTACCCAAGAAGCTCGGGCAGTGACGTTCATTTCACCGTTTATCGCCGTCCCCATTGCTTGGGGCAGATCCGCTCGCCTCCCCGAACGCCCGGTCGCCCGTGAATCTGGGGGAGGGTTGAATCGATGGAAGGATCTTGGCAGGGAGGAGATCGGTGGCCGAGGTGAAGCAGCCTCTCGCGCTCGTGCGCCTAGCTGACGGAGAGCTGCGGGGGTTCCCGCAGTCCACCGAAGCCTCAAATCACGAATGGATCGAACGATGAAAGCCACGCTGGGGTTGGTCTCTCGGTGTACGTGACCTCTGATCTCCACCCACCCCCCGACCCCACCCACCCACCGGCCTCCTCCTCATCCCACCGCCTCTTCCACTTCCACCTCCTCCACCTCCCTCTTCTCCCCCCCCCAGACGAGGAGGAGGATGAGGAGGAGGTTTACCGCATGGCGGGAGTCATGTCCGAATGCGGGGGGCTGCAGGCGATGTTGACGCGCCTCGCAGGCGTGCACGACTTCAAGCAAGGCCGGCAGCTGCTCACAGTACGTGTCTCTGTGTCTCTCTGTGTCTCTGTGTCTCTCTGTGTGTCTCTGTGTCTCTCGCTGTCTCCCCGTGTCTCCCCGTGTCTCTGTGTCTCTCTGTGTGTCTCTGTGTGTGTGTCTCTCGCTGTCTCCCAGTGTCTCCCCGTGTCTCCCCGTGTCTCTGTGTCTCTCGCTGTCTCTCGCTGTCTCTGTGTCTCTCTGTGTGTCTCTCGCTGTCTCCCAGTGTCTCTCGCTGTCTCCCCGTGTCTCTGTGTCTCCCTGTGTCTCTGTGTCTCTCGCTGTCTCCCAGTGTCTCTGTGTCTCTGTGTCTCTCGCTGTCTCCCAGTGTCTCGGTGTCTCTCGCTGTCCCCCCGTGTCTCTGTGTCTCTCGCTGTCTCCCAGTGTCTCTCGCTGTCCCCCCGTGTCTCTGTGTCTCTCGCTGTCCCCCCGTGTCTCTGTGTCTCTCGCTGTCTCCCAGTGTCTCTCGCTGTCTCCCCGTGTCTCTGTGTCTCTCGCTGTCTCCCCGTGTCTCTGTCTCCCTGTGTCTCTGTCTCCCTGTGTCTCTGTGTCTCCCTGTGTCTCTGTGTCTCTCGCTGTCTCCCAGTGTCTCTCGCTGTCTCCCAGTGTCTCTCGCTGTCTCCCAGTGTCTCCCCGTGTCTCTGTGTCTCTCGCTGTCTCCCAGTGTTTCTGTGTCTCTCGCTGTCTCCCAGTGTCTCCCCGTGTCTCTGTGTCTCTCGCTGTCTCCCCGTGTCTCTGTCTCCCTGTGTCTCTGTGTCTCTCGCTATCTCCCCGTGTCTCTGTGTCTCTCGCTGTCTCCCAGTGTCTCTGTGTCTCTCGCTGTCTCCCCGTGTCTCTCGCTGTCTCTCGCTGTCTCCCAGTGTCTCCCCGTGTCTCCCCGTGTCTCTGTGTCTCTCGCTGTCTCTCGCTGTCTCTGTGTCTCTTGCTGTCTCCCAGTGTCTCCCCGTGTCTCTCGCTGTCTCCCCGTGTCTCTGTCTCCCTGTGTCTGTCTCTCGCTGTCTCCCCGTGTCTCTCGCTGTCTCCAGTGTCTCCCTGTGTCTCTCGCTGTCTCCCAGTGTCGCTCGCTGTCTCCCAGTGTCTCCCCGTGTCTCTGTGTCTCTGTGTCTCTCGCTGTCTCCCAGTGTCTCCCCGTGTCTCTGTGTCTCTGTGTCTCTCGCTGTCTCCCAGTGTCGCTCGCTGTCTCCCAGTGTCTCCCCGTGTCTCTCGCTGTCTCCCCGTGTCTCTGTGTCTCTCGCTGTCTCCCCGTGTATCTGTGTCTCTCTCTGTGTGTCTCTCTCTGTGTCTCTCTCTGCGTGTCTCACTGTGTGTCTCTCTGTGTGTCTCTCTCTGCGTGTTTCTCACTGCGTGTCTCTCACTGTGTGTCTCACTGTGTGTCTCTCTGTGTGTCTCTCTCTGTGTGTCTCTCTCTGTGTGTCTCTCTCTGTGTGTCTCTCTCTGCGTGTCTCTCTCTGCGTGTCTCTCACTGTGTGTCTCTCTCTGTGTGTCTCTCTCTGCGTGTCTCTCTCTGCGTGTCTCTCTCTGCGTGTCTCTCTCCGCGTGTCTCTCTCTGCGTGTCTCTCTCTGCGTGTCTCTTCGCGTGTGTCTCTCACTGTGTGTCTCTCTGTGTGTCTCTCTCTGCGTGTCTCTCTCTGTGTGTCTCTCTCTGCGTGTCTCTCTCTGTGTGTCTCTCTCTGCGTGTCTCTCTCTGTGTGTCTCTCTCACTGTGTCTCTCTCTGCGTGTGTCTCTCTGTGTGTCTCTCACTGCGTGTCTCTGCTTGTGTGTCTCTGTGTGTGTGTCTCTCACTGCGTGTCTCTCTCTGTGTCTCTCTGCCTGCGCGTCTTCCTCGGCGTGTCTCTCTCTGTGTCTCACTTTGTGTCTCTCTCTGCGTGTCTCTCTCTGTGTGTCTCTGTGTGTGTGTCTCTCACTGCGTGTCTCTCTCTGTGTCTCTCTGCCTGCGCGTCTCCCTCGGCGTGTCTCTCTCTGTGTCTCACTCTGTGTCTCTCTCTGCGTGTCTCTCTCTGTGTGTCTCTGTGTGTGTGTCTCTCACTGCGTGTCTCTCTCTGTGTCTCTCTCCCTGCGCGTCTCCCTCGGCGTGTCTCTCTCTGTGTGTCTCACTCTGTGTCTCTCTCTGCGTGTCTCTCTCTGTGTGTCTCTGTGTGTGTGTCTCTCACTGCGTGTCTCTCTCTCTGTGTGTCTCTCACTGCGTGTCTCTCTCTGCGTGTCTCTCTCTGCGTGTCTCTCTCTGCGCGTCTCCCTCGGCGTGTCTCTCTCTGTGTGTCTCACTCTGTGTCTCTCTCTGCGTGTCTCTCTCTGTGTGTCTCTGTGTGTGTCTCTCTCACTGTGTCTCTCTCTCTGTGTCTCTCTCACTGTGTGTCTCTCTCTCTGTGTCTCTCTCTGTGTGTCTCTCTCACTGCGTGTCTCTCTCTGCGCGTCTCCCTCGGCGTGTCTCTCTCTGTGTGTCTCACTCTGTGTCTCTCTCTGCGTGTCTCTCTCTGTGTGTCTCTGTGTGTGTGTCTCTCACTGCGTGTCTCTCTCTCTGTGTCTCTCTCTGTGTGTCTCTCTCACTGCGTGTCTCTCTCTGCGTGTCTCTCTCTGCGTGTCTCTCTCTGCGCGTCTCCCTCGGCGTGTCTCTCTCTGTGTGTCTCACTCTGTGTCTCTCTCTGCGTGTCTCTCTCTGTGTGTCTCTGTGTGTGTGTCTCTCACTGCGTGTCTCTCTCTCTGTGTCTCTCTCTGTGTGTCTCTCTCACTGCGTGTCTCTCTCTGCGTGTCTCTCTCTGCGTGTCTCTCTCTGCGCGTCTCCCTCGGCGTGTCTCTCTCTGTGTG